GTTCTCTAAATAGAGCTTGCTCAGGAGTCTCTCCAAACTGGATGCCTCCTTGAGGAAATTGCCAAGCATTGTGTCCAATGCGTTTTGCCCATAAAACTTGTCCAATATCGTTTGCCAAAATGATCCCGACGTTGGGTCGGAAACCTTCTGAGTCGATCATTTGGCTACCTAAAATTTGTTAATTTCATTTGACTTTATATATGGGGACATACACTCTTTTGTCCAACTCGATAAAGTCAAAGTAATAATGTTTTAAAATTGCTATGATCTTAACGAATTTCTATCGACTAGCGGTGATAGATTTACAATTTTTTTCTTAAATTTCAGTTTAAACGAGTATTTTCATGGAATTGGCGCTGTTTGACTTAGATCACACCTTATTAAATACAGATTCTGACCATTCTTGGGGAGAGTTCTTAGTCAATGAAGGCTTGGTCGATCCAGTCCGACATCGTGCGATGAATGATCAGTTTTATGAAGACTACAAAGCAGGCAAGCTTGATCCAATTGCTTATAATGAATTTGTCTTTGAGTTTCTTACTCAACACGATAATGATTATTTAACTGAGTTACATCAGTTATTTATGCAAAAAGTGATTCGTCCACAAATGCGTCCAGCTGGTTTTGCCGCGATTCAAAAACATAAAGATTTAGGGCATGCGTTGGTTGGTATTACGGCAACCTCGGATTTTATTACTGCACCTATTTTCCGTGAATTTGGTATCAGCGAAATTATTGCGACCAATGCTGAAATAAAAGATGGGAAGTACACCGGGAAAGTGACCAATATTCCATGTTACCAAAAAGGTAAATTGGCACGTTTGGATCAATGGCTTGATGGTCGTACTGTCACTGAATCATGGGCTTATTCAGATTCTATTAATGACCGTTTTTTATTGGAATATGCTGACCATGCGATTGCGGTAAATCCTGATGATCGTCTTGAGCATCTGGCAAAAGAACAGGGTTGGGATATCCAAGATTGGTCGATTTGAGCTGGGCTGATTATTGTGATTTAAAGCAGTGTTGATCACTGCTTTTTTATGGCTTGATTGGTTTGTCAAGAATAAGAAGTTTTGTAAATATTTTTATAAATGAAGATTTTGTACTTCATTTATAGTGTAAAAATGCTATGTTGATTTGAGCACTTTTAAAACTGACGGAGATTATATAATGAGCCAGACACGTCCAAGAATGACCAATTTATTTGAACAACTCGGCTTGGATTCTAGCGAAGAAGCGATTCAAAGTTTTATTGAAAAGCACCAGTTGGATGCAGATACTCTAATTACAGATGCATCTTATTGGAGTGAGGGACAACGTCAGTTTCTTGCTGAAAAAATTAAATCTGATGGTGAATGGGCATTAGTGGTTGATCAGTTAAACGAGTCTCTACATGAAGACTCGGTAAAGTAAAAAATTGTGCAATGAAGATTTTATAAAGGAATGAAGGGAAAGATAAGTACGATCATCCCTGTGTAACATGTAAAACCCTTATCTTGAGTAACAAGATAAGGGTTTTTTATTGTAGGTATTATTTCATCATCTCAATCAATTCCTGTACAGCTCTAGACTGGGTACGTCCAGGATGCCAAACCATACCCAATTGGCGGTTCATTTCGAAACGAATATCAAGTTGTTGTAAGTCTTGATTTAACAAGGTTTTAGGTAAAACAGACCAGCCTAAACCAATGGAAACCAACATCCGAATAGATTCAAGCGGATTATTGCTCATGGTAATTTTTGGCTTTAAACCTTTCTTTTCAAATTCTGCTAAAGTAATTTGACTGGTATAAGTCTGTGCTGCTGGCAATAAGCTTGGGTATTCAATCAGATCTTCAAGCTTAAGGTTCTTTTTTTGTGCCAAAGGATGAAAGGGTGCAACCACGAATACCAAAGGATCATTCCAAATCGTGATATAACGCAAACGCTCATCACCTTGTGGCGGAAGGGTTAAAAATGCCAGTTCTAAATCCCCAGCGAGCACTTGTTCATGCGCTTGCTCAGAGTCCACAAAATGTACATCTAGTTTGACTTCAGGAAAATGCTGCACATATTTTTTTAAATGTTGTGGTAAATGGTGTAAGCCAATATGGTGACTGGTGCCAATCTTGAGTTTTCCTCGAACTTCGCCTTGCTCATGACTTAGGGTATGGTGAATATCTCCCAATTCATTTAACCAGTTTTTTACTTTAGGTAATAATGAATGTGCTGCATGTGTGGCTTGAACACCACGACCTGCGGACTCAAAAAGTTTGACGCCGAAATATTCTTCTAAGCTATGTATGCGTTTGGTGACAGCTGGCTGAGTAATAAACAGATGTTCTGCTGCCATAGAAATCGAACCTGTTTCCATAACTTTGACAAAAGCTTCAAAAGCAGCGAGATTCATAATATTTCCATCCATAAAGAATTTTTATGCGTAATTCATTATTTAGAAAATTTAAGAATTAATCAAAGTAATTTTCAAATTTTTTTATTTTTAGCAAAGTGATTGGTTCTATTCATGCTTTGGAAAAATTTTAATACAACTTTTTACTATACAATTTAAGCAAAGCTCATTTATAGTCAGCGTATAAAAACAACAAAAGGAAAGCTATTTGAATCAACCAACAAACACCACCATTCACTATTTTCAACAGCATACTAGAAATACCTTTTCTAAAACTTGGCTTCGATTTTTTACCACGATACTGATATTTTCTGCTCTAGGTTTAATCTTTGTATATTTTTTCAATATCTATTTCCCCATCATTATCATCGCTATTCTCAGCATAATTTGGTTGAAGCTTCGGTTAAATCGTCTAAGAAAAATGCAAGATTTGGAGCGTTTTAAATTTCCAAATCGTATTTGGCTTGCTTTTAAACAAAGACATCCAAACATTCGACAATCTTCTTATCCATTGATTGAAGAAGGTTTTAAAGACTATTTAGCAATTCATTTGTGGCGTAGGGGAGCTTATGCAATGCCTTCACACTCAGTGGACGCGCTATGGCATATATTGATTGAAGAATTTGATGACTTTTATCAGTCCATGAGCCAACGTTTTTTAGGCTATGAATTGATTCATAAACCACATGATTTACAAGCAACTGAATCACAGCGAGCTGCTCAGAGACAGCAATTGCTCAATACTTGGCATGGGGCATGTGCTTTACATGGATTGAATCCACAAAACACTCAGGTCTTACCGCGAATTTTTCAGGTTGATGCCTATGTTCGATGGGAGCGGGGTTTAATTTTTAGCTTACCGTTTATGATGACAATGTATAGCCAAATGATGAGTTCAACTTCAGATCTTCCACAGGCTTCTGCAACATCATCATGTTCTTCTAGCTCATGTTCAGGATCAAGCTCATCTAGTGATTCGAGCCATTCACATAGTACAAGTTCTGACTCATCTTCTTCTTGTAGTAGTTGTAGCAGCTGTGGAGGAGGCGGTGGTGATTAGCACCTCCAGCCACAGAAAATACATCTGATTTAGATTTTAATTTCAGTGCTTTGAGCTGCCTTTTGGTCTCGTTTATTCCAAGCCTTTTCATGGAAAAAGAATGCAAATGCTTGTACAGTCGGTTCAAGTAAACTTAATGTCACGGCCATCCAAAAATTACCAGTCACGGCATAAGCAACTAACATCGCTACTGTGATATGCATGATGTAATAACTTAAGGTTTTTTTGAAAACACGTTGATTGCTTTGTAGGAAATTTTGGATACTCGCCATGAGGATCACCACTTATTTAATTTAATAGTTAAATAATAATCATTATCAATTGTAATGTAAAAAGGTTTTTTTGATTAATGTTGATTGGATTTGTGAATGGAAATAAAGTGAAGTGTGGTTAGAATTCTATAGTTACTAGAATAAAGAGAATTTATATGGCTTTGGTAAGCTTTCGCTTAGAGCAAATTTCAGGAAAAATTCACAATATTCAGATTTCTAATACAAAAATGATGCGCTGGAATATTTATATGAATGCTTATAAGTCTGGCACACCTGAGTTTGAAGTTCAGTATTTTCAAGCACAAATAGATGATTTAAAAGTCATTGGCTGCTTTACAGACCTAGTTTTTAAAGAAAATGAAGATATTGAAGTAATTCTTTGTTTTGATGTAAAAAGGCAGTTTTGTAAGCTTTTGGCTTTGAAAACAAGCAATAATATTCTGCATATCGATCCTCATCTGCATTCTTTTGCCCAGTTATTCGATTTTAAAGAGTTTTTGGAGAAATGGTTTATTCCAATAGTACTGATGCTTGTGGGAGGAAATATTCTAATGAATTTGTGGTTAGACATTGAGATTCAGCTATGGGATATGTTGCTTTTCAGTTGTTTCATTTTAGCCATAGTCTATTTTTTAAATCCTTTGAAAATGAATAAAGACAGCTATTACAGAAACTTATCAAGAAAAATGTGGCAAATGCCAATGTTCCAAGAGTTATCAGCTCAACAGGTTAGCCAAACAAAATATTTTTATAAAATGAAAGAGTATGTTATTGATTTAAATAAGCTTTCTTAAAGGTCTAAATATTATTTTAATATGAGGGTTTTGAAAAATAATATTAATTTTCAACTTCTTAAAGAAGATATGTGATTTGTATTTTTGAATACAGCTTATCATTTAAGACAAATTAGCTTATTAAAAGATGCTATGAAAATTTAGTTAATCAATTCCAAAAAGTTTTTAAATTAATAAAAATGATAAATTAGATTTATGTAAAAACGTGGTTATAATTGAGTGAATGAAAGAATTACCCAGTCCAGTGGAGCATTTCGACATGGCAGGCGAAAACCAAAAAGCAAAAACAGAATCAGTAAAAACTTTGTATGACAAATTGTGGGATGACCATCTTGTAACACAACGTGATGATGGTTCAGCATTACTTTATATCGACCGTCATTTATTGCATGAAGTGACTTCTCCACAAGCATTCGAAGGCTTACAACTTGCTGGGCGTAAACCTTGGCGTTTAAGTGCTAACGTTGCAACACCTGACCATAATGTTCCTACATCAACCAAAGAGCGTTCAGAAGGGATTGCTGGGATTGAAGATGATACTTCTCGTATCCAAGTTCAGACCTTAGACGATAACTGTAAAACCTTTAATGTGGTGCAGTTTGACATTAACGATGTGCGTCAAGGTATTGCACATGTCGTTGGACCAGAACAAGGTTTAACTTTACCGGGTATGACGGTGGTATGTGGTGACTCGCATACAGCGACACATGGTGCATTCGGTTGTTTGGCACACGGGATCGGAACGTCAGAAGTTGAACATGTATTGGCAACACAATGCTTAGTACAGAAGAAAATGAAAAACATGTTGGTGCGTGTTGACGGAACATTAGGTCAAGGCGTTACACCAAAAGACGTGGTTTTGGCAATTATTGGTAAAATCGGAACGGCTGGCGGTACAGGGCATGCGATTGAATTTGGTGGTCAGGTATTCCGTGATATGTCGATTGAAGGGCGTATGACCGTGTGCAATATGGCAATCGAAGGCGGTGCGCGTGTTGGTATGGTTGCGGTCGATGATAAAACGATTGAATATGTTAAAGATCGTCCTTATGCACCAACAGGCCAACAGTGGGATGCGGCAGTCGCGTATTGGAATACTTTACATTCTGATGAAGATGCACATTTTGATACGATCGTAGTTTTAAATGGTGAAGAAATTGAACCACAAGTATCTTGGGGCACTTCTCCTGAGATGGTGATTCCTGTATCTCAAGCTGTTCCAACTTTGGAACAGGCCAAAGATGATGTACAGCGTAATGACTGGACCCGTGCGTATCAATATATGGGTTTAAACGCAGGTCAGGCATTGGCTGATATTCAATTAGATCGTGTATTCATTGGTTCTTGCACCAACTCACGTATTGAAGATATTCGTGCTGCTGCAGAAGTGGCAAAAGGTAAAAAAGTAGCGTCTAGTATTAAACAGGCCATGGTTGTTCCAGGCTCTGGTTTAGTGAAACAACAAGCGGAAGCGGAAGGTTTAGATAAAATCTTGATCGAAGCTGGTTTTGAGTGGCGTGAGCCAGGTTGTTCAATGTGTTTGGCGATGAATGCTGATAAGTTACAACCGGGTGAACATTGTGCATCGACTTCAAATCGTAACTTTGAAGGCCGTCAGGGCAATGGTGGACGTACTCACCTTGTCAGTCCAGCAATGGCCGCTGCGGCAGCAATTGCAGGTCACTTTGTTGATGTACGTTCATTCTAATCAGGCTTAAGGAGCAAAGAGATGAAAGCTTATACCGTTGAACAGGGTATTGTTGCACCTTTAGACCGTGCCAATGTAGATACCGACTTAATCATTCCAAAGCAGTTTTTAAAGTCAATTAAACGCACCGGTTTTGGTGATAACTTATTTGATGAATTACGTTATTTAGATGAAGGTTATCCGGGACAGGACAATTCTAAACGTCCGAAGAATCCTGATTTTATTTTGAATCAGCCACGTTACCAAGCGGCATCTGTATTAATTTCTCGTGCCAATTTTGGTTGCGGTTCAAGTCGTGAACATGCGCCTTGGGCATTGGAAGAGTATGGTTTTCGCACAGTGATTGCACCAAGCTACGCAGACATCTTTTTCAATAACAGTTTTAAAAATGGCATGTTGCCAGTGATTTTGCCTGAATCTGTTGTGGATCAATTATTTAAAGAATGTGCTGCTCAGGAAGGCTATCAATTAACCATTGATTTAGAAGCTCAAGAAGTCCGTACACCAAGTGGTGAAGCTTTTAAATTTGAAGTAGATCCATTTCGTAAACACTGTTTATTGAATGGCTTGGATGATATTGGTTTGACTTTACAGGCTGCGGATGAAATTCGTGCTTATGAAGAAAAAACCAAACAATCACGCCCTTGGGTATTTGCTGAAATTCAAGGTTAATTTTCAGCGAACATTTTACACATAGCGTGAATGCCTAACTCTTGCTAACATGCGAGTATAACAAAATGAATGTTGACTCAGTGAAGTGAGGGTTGGGGTTGAGCAATGACTAAGTTTTTGAGTTGCAGTGTTTTAATCGGTTTAACAAGCTTTATGCTTAGTGCATGTCAATCCACTCAAATGGTTGATTTAATGCGTATCAAGCAAGCTGAAAATAAACATGTCAGCCAAAATTCGGTTTCTGTCTATTGTTCAGGTGCAGAGCATTGTGAATTTGCGCGCTTAAATGATGTGATTATCATGGATGAACGTGCACAACGTGCCAATCGTAGCGCCATTCAAAAGGGTTATCTCAAATTAACAGGTGAGCCTTTAGATCAAAATGGTGTTTATTTAACGATTCCACCTCAGCAATATGAGATGGTGATTCGATTCTATCCAATCACTAAACAGCATGCTGAAGTTTTCCATGTTATTCATGATTTTAAAGCAAATCAAAAATACACATTTAAGATGTATCGCTTAAGGTCACAGGGTTCAGGAAGTTTACTGAATGTTTCTTCACCGACACCGTTATGTGTCGATATGATTCAAGAAAAACGGACAATTCGCCGTTTTTGTCGCCCGCATAATGCGGTGACTGGCGTGAGCGAATTTGTTGAACAGAAGATTTAATCTCACATCAGTATAGATACTGAACAATAAATGGAACTACAAATGTCTAAACAAATTTTGATTTTGGCAGGTGATGGTATCGGTCCTGAGATCGTTGCTGCTGCTGAAAAAGTACTGACACGTGTCAATGATAAATTTAATTTAGGTTTAACATGGGAACAGGGTTTGTTAGGGGGTGCAGCAATTGATGCACATGGCGAACCTTATCCAACTGTAACAGCGGAACAAGCGAAAAAAGCAGATGCAATCTTACTGGGTGCTGTAGGCGGTCCAAAATGGGATAATATTGAACGTTCAATTCGTCCAGAACGTGGCTTATTGAAAATTCGTAGTGAATTAAATCTATTTGCTAACTTACGCCCTGCAATCCTTTATCCGCAATTGGCGGATGCATCTAGTCTTAAACCAGAGATAGTTTCGGGTTTAGATATCCTTATTGTTCGCGAATTGACGGGTGGCATCTACTTTGGTCAACCACGTGGTATTCGTGAACTCGAAAATGGTGAGAAGCAAGGTTATAACACTGACGTTTATTCAGAGTCTGAAATTAAACGTATCGCAAAAGTTGCTTTTGAAATGGCAAACTTACGCGGTGGTAAAGTTTGTTCAGTGGATAAAGCCAACGTGCTTGAAGTGACTGAGCTTTGGAAGCAAACAGTGACTGCACTTAAAGAACAACAATATCCAAATATTCAACTTTCACATATGTACGTCGATAATGCAGCAATGCAATTGGTTCGTGCGCCAAAACAGTTTGATGTGATTGTGACAGGGAACTTGTTTGGTGACATTCTTTCCGATGAAGCAGCAATGCTAACCGGCTCTATTGGTATGCTTCCATCTGCCTCTTTAGATGAGAATGGCAAAGGTATGTATGAACCTTGTCATGGTTCTGCTCCTGACATTGCTGGCCAAAACGTTGCTAATCCACTTGCAACCATTCTTTCTGTGGCAATGATGCTACGCTACACCTTCCGTGAAGAAGTGGCTGCAAAAGCCATTGAGGATGCTGTAGGGCAAGTTTTAGACCAAGGTTTGCGTACTGGCGATATTATGTCTGATGGTATGCGTAAAGTTGGTACGGCTGAAATGGGTGAGGCTGTCGTTGCAGCGATTGCTTAAATACCTGTTTTAAATGGTTGGTAATAAAAAACACAGCTTAAGCTGTGTTTTTTATTGTTAAATTTTAGCTTTTGATAAGTTTTGATAAAAGTCTATTCATATTCTCGCTATTATAGTGATGGGTATTAGATTCACTTTAAAACAGCTAACAGGCTCGACCTAAATACTCAACAGATTCAGCAACACCATCTTTTAATTGAAAAGTGACTTTACAATTAAAATTAATGTCATAGCTTGGCGTGCCTGTCGTATCATAACGAATCACTGGCAGACCCATTGCATTAGGGCCTACAGTCGCATTGCCTCCTGCCATGGGGATATTGATTGGTCTAAGGATGGTATAGCTTAAGGTGCTATTACTGGTTTGGATTTTATCGCTTACCTGATACCCCATTGCCTTAAAATTTAAATTGCTTTGAATTTCAGTACTGGTTTTACCAATGAATTGCTGTAAATATTGATCTAAATTTGCTGGTCGGGTGTTTAAGCTTTTACATCCAACAAGTGCAATAGATGCCAATAAAAACATACATACATGTATTTTCATAAGCTTCACCTGATCCTTAGTTAACTTAGTTTAGAAATGATCTCTGTTTAGTATAATAAATATACACACATATGTATCTAGATCGGTTGCAGGGCAAACCAAGTGGTATAGATTTTACTAAAAAGAGTCAAACAGACAGAACTGGTGAAGCTGTGAAAAGATCAGTTGTATTAAAATTTAGAACAAATTAGTGCTATCAACTTTGAAGTAAATGGATTACAAGTGATAAATAGGTATATGAAACAGATTTTAATGTGTCAGATGTATAGTTGCCAGACGATAAAAGATCGTAAGCAGAAAGGTAAATCTTGTGGATAATGAAAAAGCCACCTAAAAGTGGCTTTTGCTTACACTAAAACTTAGCGTGCACGATATGTAATACGACCTTTTGTTAAGTCATATGGTGTCATTTCAACTTTTACATTATCGCCTGTTAAAATACGAATATAGTGTTTACGCATTTTACCAGAAATGTGAGCAATCACTTCGTGACCGTTTTCTAAACGCACACGGAACATAGTATTAGGAAGCGTTTCGGTGACAACGCCTTCGAACTCGATAAGTTCCTCTTTATTGGCCATAGCCTACCTGATGATCAAATTGGAAAGGCGCAAATTATAGGCAATTTTTTGCAGAAAGACAAGAATATTCGGCATTACAAGGCGGTAGATGACTTGAAAATAAGCGAACATATTGTTAAACAATTTCTACAAAAAAAAGCGGATAAATATTGTCAGTTTGGTCAATCGACTGTAATCTAAATTAAATGTTTTAAGTATAAATGAATAACATACAAGGAAGGGCACTGCGTGAGTCAGCTAACTGATGCTTCGGTTGTTTTACGATTAGGCTATCAAGCGATCCGTCGTGCAGGATTGCCGACAGAAGAAATATTATCAAAGGCTGGGGTAGCATTGGGTCAGGTCGACCAAAATGCTCGAACACCGTTGAATGCACAATTTGCATTTTGGGTCGCTGCGGAGGAAGTCAGTAATGATCCAGATATTGGTTTACACCTCGGAGAGCACTTGCCACTGTATCGTGGGCAAGTGATCGAACACCTGTTTATTTCAAGTGAAAATTTTGGCGAAGGCTTAAAGCGTGCTTTGGCTTATCAACGTTTAATTAGCGATGCATTTCATGCCAAATTGATCATTGATGATGACGGGCGTTGTTATTTAACCAATGGTGAGCAGCCTTGGGGTGAGAACATCGTCAATCGTCATTTTTCAGAATGTGCTATTTCAGGGATTTTACGCTTCTTTAAATTTATCACTGAAGGACGATTTGAACCGATTTACATCGATTTTAATTTTGCCAATGGCGCTTCTGATGGTGAGTATTATCGTGTTTATGGTTGTCCTGTCAGTTTAGGGCAAAAAGAGACACGTCTTTATTTTGATCCTTCAATTTTAGAATATCCATTGTGGCAAGCAGAGCCTGAGTTATTGCAATTGCATGAACAACTTGCAATTGAAAAACTGCAAGAGCTTGCACGTTATGATTTGGTGGGTGAAGTACGCCGTGCCATAGGCTCCACTTTGGAAAGTGGTGAAACAACCCTTGAAACTGTTGCTGCACAACTCAGCATTACCCCACGTCGTTTACGTACACAGCTTTCGGAAGCCAATACCAGTTTTCAGCAAATTCTTTCTGATTATCGTTGTCGCTTAGCCAAGAAACTGTTGGCCAATACCACCGAAAGTGTTGAGCGTATTGTTTATTTGACTGGATTCTCTGAGCCAAGTACGTTTTACCGTGCATTTAAACGCTGGACCAATGAAACGCCTGTGGAATATAGAAAGCGTAAGCAGCGTTAAATCGTATGCTTGTGGGAAACGAACTGAACAGTTTTAATATAAAAAATCCTTCTATTGAGAAGGATTTTTTATATGCAGCCCCAAAAAATTATTCAGGCATATTTAACCAATGTGGGCCTAAAGGTGGTTGAGGCAATTCAAATTGTTCTGGGTAATCTGCATGAATAAAATAAAGCCCATCTGGTGGTGCAGTGATTCCTGCCGCTTTACGATCTTGTGCCGCAAAAATTTCATCAATATGATCCACTTCATATAGACCTTGGCCAATCTCAAGTAAGCAGCCCATGATGTTACGTACCATGTGGTGTAAGAAGCCATCTGCCTGAATATCGAGAACTAGATAGTTGCCATGACGAATTAAGCGACAATGTTTGACATGACGTACAGGCTGATTGGACTGACATGCAGCAGCGCGGAAGCTTTCAAAATTATGCGTGCCTTGAAATTTTTGCGCCGCTTCAATCATTTTATCCACATCGAGTGGATAATAGGCATGTGTTACTTGTTTATGTAACAAGGCAGGGCGGTTTGCTGATTGATAGACCACATAACGATAACGACGAGCCTTTGCCTTAAAGCGTGCATGGAAATCGTTATCCATTTCTTTAATCCATTGGATTGAAATGTCTTTGGGCAATTGACTATTTGAACCCATTAACCAACCACGTATAGGGCGAATCGCATTGGTATCGAAGTGGGCCACCATATTAGTCGCGTGGACACCCGCGTCAGTACGACCTGCACCATGTAAAATAATAGGCTCGTCGGCAATTTTACTGAGCACATTTTCCATGGTTTCCTGAATACTACGTACGCCAGGCTGTTGAGTTTGCCAACCTTTATATCGCATGCCACAAAACTCAATACCAATTGCAAAACGTTGCATAAATACCTCTATTCAGGATGATCATACCAATGGTCATGCCATTGTTCCGAAGAGGGGTATTGTAAATAAATTTTAACAATTTTGGCATAAAGATCTGCTTGGCTCAGTGCATCACTGACTAAAATTTTTGAATCTTTGATCCATTGGCTAATCGCATAGCGTTGATCCATGCCGCCTAGAGGCACTTGAGTCGATAAAATGATTTGGCAGCCATTTTCCTGCAAGCTTTTAATTTTTTGGATAATGCCCGCATTTACGGCTAAATTACCTACCCCATAAGCTTGAATGATCAAGAAATGCGGAGCATGTTTGGAGAAAATTTCCAGATTACGTTCAAACTGTAATATTTCAGTCGGCACCATCATCCAATTGACGATATTGAGCGATTTGGCTTTTTCGATATGTGAAAGTTGTACCTGAATGACGGAATGATCTACCGCTATTTGTTGTTCGGCTTTGAGTCCTTTAAACGCATCTAAAGCAGTGCTATGGGCTTTTAATGTGGTTCTTGCATGAATCACTTGATGGTAGAAAGCCAAATACACGCCTACAGGAAGTCGAGTGACGGCATCGAGTGCGGTATTTAAATTATCCAGCGCATCGGTGAATTCTCGAGTATTGTCCCCTTGAATATTGAGCAGTGGATATTGGCTTCCAGTAAGGACGACATGACAGGACTCAGCTAAAAAGCGTGATAAGGTCGCCGCAGCATAACTGAGCGTATCTGTACCATGAATAATGACAAAGTGTTGGAAATTTTGGAGTTGTAGGCTTTGTATTTGTTGAATCAGCATAAGCCAGTCAATGGCTGTACATGCACTACTGTCTTTGATACTGGGCGCCTTAAAGCACTCAATTTTAAACTGAGGTGCTAAGACCTTTTTGAGTTGTGGAATAAACTCAGCATCAGGCATCGGCGCTAAAGGCTCGCCAATACAGCCAAAAGTTCCACCCATGTAAATTAAAGCAATTTTTTTGTTCATAATAAAAAAGCAGCCATTCATGACTGCTTTATCTTAAGACGAATAGATTTAAGAAGCTATTTGATTGAGTAAATTTTGTGATTGTTGGCGTTGTTCAGCGGTATACGCTGCTTCATTTTGTGAGAGTAGCTCACGAACGGAAGCATATGCACCCAAATTTAGATATTGTTGAGCAAGGTCTAAATTTAATTGAATTTCATTCACTTGAGCCAGCTCAGGGAATGAATGGAGTAATGGGTCATTTGCATCTATGGCCAGACTGGTTTCAGCTTCACTAGGCGTTTCAAGGCCAAGTGTTGCTGTGCTATGCACTTGCTCAACTGTTTCAGGTTTTGGATCTAGATCAAAACTAAAAGTGGGCTGTGTCTCTGGTTCAGTAGGCGTGAGTTTAAATTCAAAATCACGTACTGGTGTGCTTTCTTCAGTAGCTACTGGTGTAATCGGTTCAGCAAAATCGAGTTTGAATTCTGGTGCGATCTCAACTTCTGCTGCTTTTTCAACTGGAACTGCTGCAGGTTCATTTGCTGTAAACGTGAACTCTAGTGGTTGAACAGTTTCAGTTTTAATTTCTGGGGCAGGAGGAACTACTTCAAAAGAAAGCTCAGGTGTTGTTGTTGGCGCTTTTTCAGGTGCAGGATCTAAATTAAATTCTAACGGCTGAACAGGTTGTTGCGGTGTCTCAACTTTCTGCTCAACAAGCGTTGAATGATCGAATTCTAGCGCATCGACTTGTGCCAGATTTTGCGTTTCGGTTTTAGATACAGCGGGTTGTGAAATTGTTTCTGTATTTCCAATCAAGGCATCAAAGGCAGCTGTATTTTTGCTTTCTGGCACGACAGGGCTTGATGGCTCAAAAGCAATCGATTCAACTGGGTGATCAGCTTGATTGGCTTTTCGTCGTTCTTCGGCTTGAATGACGATTTCGTCTAAGCCCAATGAACGAATATGATTAATCAACTGATTCACTGCAAATTCATCTTTTTGTGCCAGATGCACATCTAAAAGATAAAGATAAAGTTCATGTTGAGCATTGTCTTGGTTTAAAACTTGATTGATTTTTGCTTCAGCAGAAAAATAGTTTTTCTCAGCAATCAGCTTTTCAATATTGCTTTTTAATTCAGGGCTTAATGGTTTTGTTGCTTGTTTAACAATAACTTCATCTTCAACAACAGTGGTCTGTTGTTTTTTTGAGGTACGCGCAGTACGTGCAACATTTTTCTTTGAAGTCTTTTTATTGTTACTTTTTTTGTTATTGGTACTGGCACTCTCTTTATTGGCATCCTCTCGTTTTTTGAGCACGATCGCCACGACCAAGAGTAGAACAAATGGAATCACATACAACAACATTTTATTTCCCCTTCATTGAGCACAATGAATCAATATTTTGAATATCCTAACTATTTGGTTTTTTTGCATTCTGCTGTTGTAATTGCTGTTGCAATTGAGCGAGCTGAGCATTTAATAATTGAATTCGCTGATTCTTTTGTTGTAAACCTGCTGCAAGTTGGTTCACATTCTTCTGTAATTTAACCGTTTTTTCACGAGATGTCATAACTTTTGTAGATAATTCAGTAGTGGTCTGATTCAACTGTGTATTTTGCTTTCCTTGACTCTGAGCAGCGGGTTGATCATTGTCTGCGACTAAACTCATTTCTGCTTGATCTAAGCGATATTTGGCAGAACCCGATTGCTTTTTGGCAATTTCAGGTGCAGCCGTTGCAACTTTATTTTTGCTTTGTGGTATTTGACGATAGCTGGCTGCTAGATTGAGTGCAGCGCCACGACGAATACGGTTTACATCACCTTGAATAAACGCATTGGCATTATTTGCTTTAATTTGTCTCATCACTTCTGGAATGCTTTGATTGGTTTCTGCTGCAATCCGAGATGCAATTTTCCACAGTGATTCATTGGCCTGAACAATATGTTTAGGTTGTTTATCTAATGCTTTATTGGCTTTTTCCTGTTTAAGCACTTTTTGTGACTCTGCTTTCGATTTCTCTACACGAGACTCATTCGATTTTGCTTGCTTGGTCTCAGCTTTGGAATCTTTTGGCTTTTGTGATTCTGCTTTTTGCTCGTCTAATTTAGCGGGTGGGGTCTGAGCTTTTGCAGATTGCACTGGTGCTTTTTCGGCTGGTGGCTGAGGCACTTGTTGTACAGTTACCGCCGTTGTTTGTGGCGTATTCTGAGCACTGCTTTGATGATTGCTTTGAAGATGGTTTGGAGTATTGGTTGTAGCTGCAGGTGGTGTGGTTGTCGCAACTGTAGTTGTTTTTTGTTCTGTTTTGAGTGCTGGTGGTGCAATCACATTAATTGCTAAAGTACCAGCTGAATCCGTTGTCGTCGTTGCTTTGGTCGCCATAGCTGGTGGAGTTACGACTTCTGGCGTTGTCACGTGGTATTGCGTGCTGGTTGGTAAATTTAATGCAATATCTTTTTCGCTGACGATGATTTGAGGTGTCAGAGGCTTTTCTTTGACTAAGGCATTGCTCATTGGAGCAGGGACGTTGCTACGCCCACGAGTCAATGGGGCTTTGACTTGCTGAATATGGGTCGCACTCCCTTCTTTGACTTTTAATAATATATTTAATTCAGATTCAACAATCGGACGAGAAGAGGTAATCACAATCACCCCAGTGCCATCTCCTGAACGACGAGTATAAAAATTTAAATGCCCAGGTGCTTGCGCGGAAATACCAATATTTTGAATATCATCTGCATCGGCTAATCCGACTTCTATTTTTTCATTTGGATTTGCATTACTAAACTTCATTTCAGCATAAAGCAGATCACCAGACCCTGACTGAACTTGGATCGGGTCTATTGTAATCGCACTCACCGCTTGCGACGTCATGATGGCTAAAATGGCAATTTTTAATTTGTTATATACAGTCATCTCTATCCATTGCTCTGACAAAGTTCAAGGCATCCCCATAATACAATATTAGCTGTAGTCTATATGTAAAATATTAACATTAGAGTTACATAAACATAGTTACATAAAAAAGCCGATCAAGATAGATCGGCTTTTTCATTGTTTATGAGTTTTTTGTGACTTTAAGCATTTTTATAGTCGATTAAGATACGTAACATACGACGTAAAGGCTCAGCAGCACCCCAAAGTAATTGGTCACCTACAGTGAATGCGCCTAAATACTCTTTACCCATATTTAATTTACGTAAACGACCTACTGGCACAGATAGAGTTCCTGTTACAGCGACTGGAGTAAGATCCGTCATTGATGCATCACGTGTATTTGGAACCACTTTTGCCCATTGGTTAGACTGACGAATCATGTCTTCAATCTCATCAAGCGGAACATCTTTTTTCAATTTCAATGTTAAGGCTTGAGAGTGACAACGCATTGCACCAATACGTACACAGTGACCATCAATTGGAACAATCTGAGCATTACCTAAGATCTTGTTGGTTTCAACTTGACCTTTCCACTCTTCTTTAGATTGACCGCTTTCAAGTTGCTTATCAATATAAGGGATCAACGAACCTGCTAAAGGCACACCGAAGTTTGCTTTCGGGAAAGCTTCGCCACGTTGTAATTCGGCAATTCGGCTGTCGATGTCTAAAATCGCAGAACGTGGATCATCTAACAAGTCTTGAGTATTGTTATATAAATACCCCATACCTGTGATCAGCTCACGCATGTTTTGCGCGCCAGCACCTGAAGCGGCTTGATACGTCATCGCCGTCATCCATTCCACCAAATTGTGTTGGAACAGTGAACCCATGCCCATCAACATCAAAGAAACCGTACAGTTACCACCAACAAATGTTTTAATACCATTGACCAAACCGTCTTTGATAACATTTAAGTTGACTGGGTCGAGTACAATAATTGCTTCATCATCCATACGTAATGTAGAAGCTGCATCGATCCAATAGCCTTTCCAACCTTCAGCTTTTAGCTGAGGAAAGACTTCTGATGTATAGTCGCCACCTTGACAGGTAATAATGACATCCATTTGCTTCAGACTGGTAATGTCCGTCGCTTCCATAAGTGCTGGAGCAGTTTTACCACCAAAAGCAGGCGATTCACCACCTGCGTTACTGGTAGAGAAATAGAATGGCTCAAAATGAGCAAAATCATTCTCTTCAACCATACGTTGCATAAGGACAGAACCAACCATCCCGCGCCAACCGACCAGACCTACTTTCATGTCACTTTGCCTCGGTGCGTTAAAAAATAAAAGGGGGTTTGAGTGTATCAAAAGAGTGTGTAACTGCAATAGCATACACAATGAAAACACAACTATATTGTGCAATATATCTTGTTTATGATACATGCAAAATTGATATTAATTTATGAATCATTCAAAAATTAAGAATATAAGAGTGACAAAATATGATCTGGATAGAAGTACTTGCGTTGATTGTGATTTGGCTAAGTTTCTGGTCACTGATTCCCCGTGATGAATGGTGGTTTAGAGGTGCTGATTTTCCACGCTTGCAGATATTATTTGTTGGTCTGATTGCCTTGGGATTGATGTTGTTTTGGACAGTGCCGTGGGACTTGGCTCGTGAAGTGATTTTATTTTTATTGATAGCTGCCGTAGCTTTTCAATTAAAGATGGTTTTGCCTTATACCTTCATTTGGAAGAAACAAGTCAAACAGGTGACCAAAGATCAGCTTAATCCTGATCAGCAAATTTCAGTGATTGTGTCGAATGTGCTGACACCGAATGATCAATATCACTTATTGCTTGAGCAAATTGAACAGCACCAGCCAGATATTGTTTTGACACTTGAAACTGATCAAACTTGGCAAAATGAATTGGCTCAAGTTGAAAAAGATTATCCTTATCGTGTGGCTATACCTTTAGACAATCTCTATGGGATGCATTTGTATAGCAAACTCAAGTTGGTCGATACAGAGGTTAAATTTATTCTCAGTGATGAAATTCCGTCTATTCATACCACGGTGATTTTACCATCGGGGCAAGCGGTGCAACTGTTTTGTTTACATCCCAAACCACCAAGCCCAACAGAAGCCAAAGACTCGACTTTACGTGATGCTGAATTGCTTATTGTGGGGGATCAGATCAAAGACTTGGATGAGAGCTGTATTGTTATGGGCGATTTAAACGATGTTGCTTGGTCACGCACAACGCGTTTATTTCAGCGTATCAGTGGTTTGCTTGATCCACGTGTGGGGCGCAGATATATCAACACCTTCCATGCTGACTATAAATTTTTAAGATGGTCTTTGGATCATTTATTTCATAGTACCGATTTTGCTTTAGTACATATGCAACGACTGCCTCATGTGGGTTCAGATCATTTTCCGATTTATGTGGTATTACAAACAGGGCGTATTTTTGAGCAAACTCAAGAAGAGTTAGAGCAAACCGATGCAGATGAAAGGGAAGCGCAAGAGGCAATTCAGGAAGGGATTGAAAAAGCAGAGAAAGAGGAGAAGTTGGTGACTGATGAAATTGCACAAAGTTATAAAGCTGGAACCTGATTGTCTGACAAAAAAATTAAAAAATGGCTGATTTTTGTAAGCAATTACTTACATGGATTTAGGCCCTAAGCGGATAGCATGCAAAGCATATTCGTTTTAATCTTTACTTATCGACACAGGGAATGAGAACGGAAAATCTCACTAAGGAAGACGAAGTCGATGGAGCAATCATCAAGGATTTGATGTTGGAATGGATAACCAAGAAAATAAGAATAAGATGTGAAAGCACAACCTCATGAACCCGAGTTTTGCAGGATGCAGAACTCGGGTTATGCTTTATTTATGGTATATAATTTAGAATAGACAAAATTGAAAATAAAAAAGAGTGGCTATGTTTCTCGCAAAAGTTCAAGAATTCGCTTCAAGTCTTAAACATTTTACTGGTTTAAGTAGTGATGCTTTATTTATCTATGCAGGTTTAACCATCTATTTTATTGTTGCTGCAATTCATAAAAGACAACTTAAATCAAATTTTGCGATTATCGCCACAGTGGTGCTTGCCTTTGTAATTGAAATCTTTAATGCACGCGCAGATATTTTTGGTAGAGGCTATTGGCGTATTTGGGAAAGTATCCATAGCATAGTCAATATGATTTTTTGGCCTTATGTGATTTGGGCTATGGCACGTTTTCGGGTATGGAAAGGTTAGTTTTTCTACTTAACCCGCTTATGATCCAAATTATTTTTATTTTCCATAATGTTGATTTAAGGCGTCCATTTCAGCAGAAATTTTTTGTTGAAGCGCCATTGAGCGTTTACCAAGTTGCTCAAATTCATCGCTGGGTGCATTTGCATCAAAATCTGGGGCTGTTGAAAGCGTATACATTTTCTGACTGGTGATTAAATTATCAATCATTTGTGTGCGTAGACTTTGTACTTCACTGCTTTTTAAATTTAATGCCATGATTTGTTGTTGAGTTTTCGCTTGTATATCATTGGCTTTGAGTAAAATATGCTGGCGCTTTTCAGGTTGGGGAGCAGCTGATTGAAGCTCCGCTCTTAATTGAAGTGCTTGCGTATTTGCGTGATTGACGATCTGATTAAGTTGAGCCAAGTCTGTTGTAATCTCTGTTGCGTTGGCTGTACTCAGTTCAGTCGCTTTGCTTTTCCAATTGCCTTGAGTTGTTGCAGTAGACGTAGTTTCTGATGTTTTGTTTTGGGCGATATCTGCTTTTTGCTCTGAACATGCGGTAAACATCAAACTGAAACTGATCAAACATGAAAAAAGAACTTTATTGGTGATATTCATTGTTTTATTTTCCTTAAATTTGAATATATTCCGCTTAGGGTCTGTTGACATTTCATAAATGGCTTGCGTTGTAGGCTAAAATTGAGCAGGCAAGGCATGAAACGAAGAGAATAGCGAGACTATTTTCGAGTTTCATAACGAAGGCTGAGATAATTTTAGCCACAACCCTTCGGGACTAGAGTGTTTTTTGCTGCTACATCGTTACGAACTATTTATTTAGAATGACTAAATTTCATATCTCGTGCCTTGTATCATCTAAAAAACACTCGTAGTCGCAAACGTAGACGAATTGTCAACAGACCCTATTATTGATAAATCTTAATTCGCTTTGTTTGATCAAGAAAGTGGGCATGTGTAACTAGACGCAGTTTGTTATGAACGATGGTAGGTATTTAGACGCTAGATGACCAAAATAAAAAGGAGATATTTTTATATCTCCTGATCGTTAAAACAAAAACACTTAATAGATTTTCTCATAACCTTCTGGGCGTGTTTTAAAGCGACGATGAAACCACATATATTGTGTCGGTGCGATCCGCAGTTGATTTTCAATGATTTTATTGACACGAATCGCATCATCCATTTCATCTTCACTGGGTAATGGATCAACAGCAGGTTCAATAAGCACATGATATTTTGGATCTTTGATATCACCATCACGATAAAAATACAGTGGGATTGCGACAGCTTTTGATATTTTCAATAAACGTCGATGCGCCGTTACCGTTGCAGCGGGCGTACCAAAAAAGGGTGCCATCACCCCTTGTTTTAATCCAAAATCCTGATCTGGACTATACCAAATGGCATCACCTTCTTTCAGATGGCGAATCAATCCACGCATATCATCATGATCAATCTGCGCTTTATAAATCGTTGCACGACAACGATAAATCAGCATATCGAGTAAAGGATTATTCTGTGGGCGATACACGACATCGGGTTCAAAAAATTGTGCACATAAATAACCACCAGCATCAAGCATGGTGCTATGAGTGCCGAGTAGCAGTATACCTTGACCGTTTTGTTTGGCCTGTTGGATATGCTCTAGCCCTTCAATGCTGACACGGTTTTTAAACCATTGTGGTGAATACCATGCATTTAAGGTTTCAAAGACCCCGACCATTTGATCAACAAAGACTTGTCTTGAGTTGTCGATGACTTGTTCAGGCGACCATTCTGGAAAGCAGACTTCTAAATTACGCGTTGTTGTTTCACGACGTGATTTCAGTCGGTCAAAGGCAATATTGCCTAACAGTGTTGCTAAGCGGTACTGAATTGCCCAAGGCAAGATCGCGAGGATCATCAAAAATACAATCGCAATCCAGATTCCCCAATATTTCGGATGTAAAAATGCCCAATAAAATTTTCCAGACTCGTAATGATGCTTTTTACTCATAGCAGTTTTGTAAATTTGGGGAAGTTAAAACTGAAAGGAGTGTAGCATGAAGCGGTTTAAAGAAGAAAATTCAAGGTGTCATTCACTCTCATTGAGGATAAGCAAGGAAGCATGACGTGAAAATAATTCGGTTAATTCAGGGTGATATTACAGTTCAAAAGGTGGATGTAATTGTAAATGCTGCCAATACCTCGTTACTTGGCGGTGGTGGTGTGGATGGTGCAATTCATCGTAAAGGTGGTTCTGCTATTTTGGAGGATTGTCAAAGGATTCGAGCCAGACAAGGTGGTTGTGCAATTGGTGAAGCGGTGATTACCACAGCAGGGTTGTTGCCCTGTAATTATGTGATTCATACCGTGGGCCCCACTTGGCAAGATGGACAGCATGCTGAAAATGAACTTCTTGAGAAAGCCTATCTCAATAGCTTAAGACTCGCTGAGCAACATCAGCTAAAAACACTGGCATTTCCGAATATTTCAACAGGGATTTATCGTTTTCCCAAATCAGAAGCAGCATTTATCGCCATAAACAGCGTGACTAAGTTTTTAACCCAGACGACCAATTTAGAGGAAGTCAGTTTCGTGTGTTTTGATTTGGAAAATTTTAAAATTTATCGCCAGCATCTTGCCGAGATTGATCAAAAGCAAGTGCATGTTTTAGGTATATAATCGCAATTATTCACTGACTATTTTAGACAACCTTACGATGAGAGATACCTACTTAGACAGTTGTAAGGCAACACTGATATTTCTTGTGGTTCTCGGGCATTTTCTAGAACGCATGATCGGTTGGAAAGATCCGATTGATCATGCCTTGTTAGGTACGATTTATTTTGTACATATGCCAGCTTTTATCTTTATTTCGGGCATGTTGTTTAAAGACAGTAAATGGTTTAAGAATATTCTATTTTTTGTCGCGCTCTATTTACCCTTTCAAATTCTATTTCCTGCATTTTATGCCATCTGGTCAGGTAAATTTCAGCTCAATTGGAATGTGTTTGAACGACCTTATTGGATCTTATGGTATCTGTTGGGCATGATGGTATGGACAACGCTTACCCATTTTTTGATAAAAACAAAATTTGCACTGCTGATTGCACTGATTCTTGCTTTATGTGTCGGTTTAAGCCCATGGAACAATTACCAATACTCTATCGGAAGAATTTTTAGCTTCTTTCCATTTTTTATTGTGGGTGCACTTTATGGCAAAACCATTGTCGAGAAAATTCAGCAATTTAAATTCACTCAAATTTTAGCTGGATTCATCGTGGTGGGTATTGCAAGCTTGGTGTATTTCACCCAAATCAACCCATTTTGGTTATATGGCAGTTTAAGTTATCAGCAACTTAAGGTAAGTATGTGGGATGGTACGTGGATCAGAATAGGCTGTCTTTTGGTGTCGAGTTTGGGCATTTTCGCGATGTTTGCATGGACAAAATTATTAAATATTGGCTGTGTGCAACTTGGAAAAAACACCTTGGCGGTGTATTTGCTACATGGTTTTGTGGTGATGTTAATTGCACGTTATTGGCAACTGGATTTTCATATTTTTGTGGAAATTGGGATTTGTATTGGTTTATCTGTATTGACCTGCTGGATGTTACAACAGCAATTTTTTGATATTTTATTAAGAAAATTATCTTTATGGTTAATCAAACCTGTTGAAAAATTCGGTTTAAAGTAGCGAATGGATTTGAAGCGATCCAGAGCATTCGCTAAAAATTTAAAAGCTACACTGTTGGTGTAGCTTTTAAGCATGAGGATCATAATTTTATAAAGCGACAGTTTTAAAACAACGTTTTAAAGTGGATTATTTGGTTGCTGCTTTACCCTCTACTTTTTTTGCTGTTGCTGATTTTTGTGCAGCGGCATGGTGTTTTTGGCTATGACCAGCTTTATGTTGTTTTTGCATTTGATGGGTTTTAACCGCTTGAGTCGAATGCTGTGCTGGAGTTGCTGCCATTGCAGAACCTGCGAAAATTGCTGTGGTGAATGCTGCAACAAGTAATGATGTAACTTTTTTCATGATCATATTCTCACTAAATAATTCGAGATCTGAACTAGATTCGATAATCATATCTTGGAGGATTTGTATGGAAACATCATGAAGTGCTTGTAGCGAAATTCAGTATAAATGAAATGATCATGGGTAAGATGAGTGGGGAATGGTAAGTGCTTTGATTTTTTAAGTTTTATTTAATTTTAATCAGTAAAGTATTGCCGTCATTTTAACTTGAACTAAGCCATTTAAATAAGTGCGTTTATTTTTAAAAATGAAAGATTCTGTTATGTATCATTTAAAGTATTAGCTAGATGATGAAACTCTGATTACAGACTTAAATTTAGCACTTTGATCTTTTACTGCTACTCCACTATTGAAATGTTCCCCACATGAATAAGACAATCAGAAGAGCAACCATAAAGGACTTAATTGCAATTACCCAATTGATTGCGCCTTTTATTGATGAGTTTGCAATTAATGGCAGTGGGCGACAACTGTTTTCCGTAAGTATGATTTAAAATTTGGCTTTGTGGTGAAAGATGAAACCATTGAAAATCATGGGTTGCGTTATGTTTCAATGTCTTTGAATCTGGTTAATACATAAAGCTGAAAATATGTATTGTATATCTATAAGATGATTGATCTATGTTGTTGGTTTCAATGTCGGCAGGCTCAATAAAAACTCCGCATATTTGCGGAGTTTTTATTTAAAGATTTTACAAGAACTAACCTTTGATCATTTCTTCTAATGCATCCCAACGCTCCATTTTTTCAAGCATCAGTTCATCAATCTCGCCAAGTCGTTGTGACGCTTTGGTGGCTGCATCTGCATCAGTCACAAACCAAGAACCATCTGCAAGTTTTGCAGTCAGTTCAGCTTGTTCTTTTTCCAAAGCTTCAATTTCTGCAGGTAACTGTTCTAAAGCGCGTTGATCTTTATAACTCAATTTCACTTTTTTAACGGCTGGTTCAGCAGGTGTCGCAGCAGCTTCCGCTTTAGCAATGGCTTTTTTTACATCACTTTTCTGATCGACAACACGTTGATCTGGACGTTGTTCTAGATAGTCTTGATAGCCACCAATGTATTCATCGATATTGCCTTTACCATCAAATACCCAGGTTGATGTCACAACATTGTCCATAAATGCACGGTCATGGGAGATCAATAACAAAGTCCCTTTATAATCACTCAACATCTCTTCGAGTAATTCTAAAGTCACCATGTCTAAGTCATTGGTTGGCTCATCCATCACAATAAGGTTAGACGGTTTAAGCAATAACTTTGCCAAAAGGATACGGTTACGCTCACCACCTGAAAGTGCTTTTACTGGAGTACGCGCGCGTTCAGGCGAGAATAAAAAGTCTTGTAAATAGCTGTAGATATGACGGCGACCACCATTAACATCGACAAAGTCTGAGCCTTCAGACACGTTGGCCATTACTGATTTTTCAAGATCTAGCGCATTACGTAATTGGTCAAAATAAGCCACTTCAAGCTGTGTACCTGTTTTCACCGAACCGCCATGTTCAAGTTCACCTAAAATGGCTTTAATCAAGGTGGTTTTACCTACACCATTATCACCGACTAAACCAATACGGTCGCCACGCAGTACTAACGCAGAGAAATCTTTAATAATCGGTGCATTATCACCAAAAGCCACACTTAAGTGTTCAATATCAAAGACCAATTTACCTGAACGATTCGCCTCTTGAGTCGCCATGCTCACTTTACCTTGTTGTGAGCGACGTGCTTTAGATTGTTCACGTAAATCTTTTAATGCACGTACACGACCTTCGTTACGGGTACGACGTGCTTTGATCCCTTGACGAATCCAAGTTTCCTCTTCAGCCAAGCGTTTATCAAACAGCGCATTTTGCTTTTCTTCAGCTTCCATTTGCTGTGCTTTTAAGTCGAGATAGCGTGAGTAGTTACCTTCATAACTACGTAAAACACCACGATCCAACTCCACAATACGTGTCGCAATACTGTCAACAAAAGCACGGTCATGGGAAATAAATAACAGGGTGAGATTGTTTTGATCGAGTAAGAATTTCTCTAACCATTCAATACTTTCTACGTCCAAATGGTTGGTTGGTTCGTCAAGTAATAAAACGTCAGGTTGCGTCAACAATGCACGTGCTAAAAGTACACGGCGTTTACGCCCGCCTGATAAATCTGCTAAATCTGCTTCAGGATCTAAGCCCATTTTGCTCAAGATAGAATTTACTTTGGTTTCTAATGCCCAACCATCGAGCAAATCGAGCTTATGTTGTAGGTTGCCCATACGATCACAAGCTTCCATATCACCTAATACACAAGCATCGCTGGCTTCATGGTATTCTTTTAGGACGAGCGCAGCTTCTCCTGCACCTTCGGCAACAATATCGGCAACTTTGCCCGAATCCATCGGTACATCCTGAGCAAGCATAGAAATTGTAATACCATTTTGTAATGCAATTTCACCTTGATCAGGCAATAAACTTCCCTCAATCAGTTTGAGTAAAGTAGACTTACCTTCACCGTTACGACCAATCAGACAGACTCGTTCGCCTCGTTCTAAATTGAAGTTTGCGCCATCGAGCAGGGCAGGTCCACCAAACGCAAGTTGGACATCCCTTATAGTAATATAGGCCATACGGTTTCCTAAACATCCCACACTGAGGACTAAAAATGACTAAACATAAAAATATTGATGATCAGGCGTCATTTTCCGCACCCATAGAAGATTTGCAAGTCCGAATTGCATTTTTAGATGATTTAGTCGAACAATTAAATGATCAAGTGGCGCAACAAAGCTTGGAAATCGCTGATTTAAAAAAACAAATGCAGTTAATTTACCAACGTATAGAATCTGCTGATTTGTCAGAAGGTATTGCAGCATTTGACCCAATGACCAATCGTCCTCCGCATTATTGATGCAACGGATGTGAAATATGAGTGGCTGAGGTGTGCTGAATCAGGTGTAAATTCACACATAGCAGTGATATTGGCAAAGGATTTGCATAACGCAAGCGCTAAATTTGTGGGTTAAAATGGATTATGAACTTAAAAAACCTCGAAGCATTTTATTGGGTGGTGACCTTAAACAGTTTTAATAAAGCCGCAACAAAGCTTCACACGACACAGCCTGCAATTTCTCAAAAAATTACTGCGATTGAAAATGATCTCGGTTTTAAAGTGCTTGATCGCAGTTCTCGTCAAATCAAAGCCACGCATAAGGGCATGACCTTATTTAAATATGCTGAAAAGTTTATGCGACTGGAAACAGACTTGGTGGCTGAACTTACAGAAAGTCAGTATTTAACAGGAACGATTCGTTTAGGGGTTTCTGAAACGATTGTCCATACTTGGCTAGTGGAGTATATGGAGCAAGTCCAGCAAGAGTTTCCCAAAGTTTCCATCGAAATCGTGGTGAATTTAACTCCAGATTTACAAGAAGGTGTACGCATTGGTGATTTGGATATGGCGTTTTTACTGGGGCCAACTTTGCCTTTTGAATGTATAGAACGTTCATTGTGTGATTTTGAATTAAGCTTTCTGGCATCACCTTCATTTAAAGGTGGAATCGGGCAGATGTCATTGCGGACATTGATGTCGCATACCATTTTAACCTATCCAAGAATTACCTATCCTTATAAAGAGCTCAAAGCCAAAATGAAAGAACAGAAGATCGATGAACCGCTATCCATCACAAGTTATTCGTTGGTCACATTATTACGTTTAGCTGAACAAGGTTTAGGGGTTGCAGTGGTACCTAAACTAACGGCAATCAAAGAAATTTTAGATGGGCGATTGGAAATTTTGGATACGCCAATCCAATTAAAGAGATTCCACTTTACCGCAATCTATACACAAGGCAATAACACCGCATTAAAAGAAAAGTTGACGGATTTAGCGGTTTTAACTTCGGAAAATGCCATGAAAAAGCTGAATAATAAAATTAGATAATGAACAATAAAACGGCATTTTATGCAGCTTTGGTTTTGATTTAAAAATTGCAAAAATATGAAATATTGATAATGAGAACTTATAGAAAGTGATAAATATTCATTATTAAATGATTTTAAAAATAATAAAAATATATAAATTCAATATCTTATGTTTAATGAATTTTGGATAAAGTCTTATTGTGACTGACCTTCGCCTATGCTTTTATTTGAAATACAGATTTGGTTCAGCATAACCAGAAAATCTTAAAAGTTTAAAGGATTAAAGAATCTCGTATTTTAGAAAAATAGATGTTCTTTGTTTCACTTGAAATAGCGTTGATTAAGCTCAAATGGATGAGGAACGCCTACATGTCTTTATTGAAATCTTCTTTTTTGTCTGACCGTCAATGGGCAATTGTTGCATCTATCTTTATGATGGCAACGTCTGCGATGGGGCCAGGTTTTCTAACTCAAACCGCTGTATTTACAGTGAAATTAGGTGCTGCATTTGGCTTTGCAATCCTAGTTTCGATCATTATTGATTATGTTGTTCAGCAAAACATTTGGCGTGTGGTTACCTTAACGCAAATGCGCGCTTCTGATATTGCCAATAAAGCCTTACCGGGGAGTGGTTACTTACTCGCATTTCTGGTCATTTTAGGTGGATTTTTCTTTAGTATCGGTAACATTGCGGGTGCTGCACTGGGCTTAAATGCACTCTTTGGGTTGGATACCAAGGTCGGCGGCGTGCTGAGTGGTGCTTTGGCAATTCTGATTTTTGCTTCCAGAAAAGCCACTCTGGCGATGGACAAGAGCATGATTATTTTGGGGTTGCTCAAAATCGTTTTGATCGTGATCGTTGCATTCATTGTCATGCCACCAGTGGGGCAAGCCGTTCAACAAACTTTTGCACCTGATCAAATTGATTTCGCCATCATTACAACTATTGTTGGCGGTACCGTAGGTGGTTATATCTGCTATGCGGGCGCACATCGTTTATTGGACAAAGGTGCGGTTGGACCAGAGAATATTGATGAAGTGGCCAGAGCCGCAACCAAAGGTATTGTGGTGGTCGGGATCATGCGTTATGTATTGTTCTTGGCATTCTTAGGGGTTGTGGTCAGTGGTGCAAATATTGATTTAGCAAGTCACGATGCCAACCCAGCTGCGCAAGCATTCCAATATGCTGCGGGTACATTTGGTTTTAAACTGTTTGGTTTGATTTTTTGGGCAGCGGGAATCAGTAGCACAATTGGTGCAGCCTATACCTCTGTTTCATTTATGTCCGCATTTAAACAGAACTTAACCACTAAACATACCAACTACCTCACCATTAGCTTTATTTCTTTAGCCCTGTTGCTTTACGTGATTCTAGGTGCAACACCAGCGGGCTTACTGATCTTTGTGGGTGGTTTTAATGGTTTGGTATTACCAATTGGTTTGACGATTTTTGTCTATGTTGCGGCATGTCGTAAAGACATGATGGGCAATTATAATTATCCAAAATGGTTGCTGGTTTTGGGTGTATTAACCTGCTTACTCACATGGTGGATGGGTTATATGTCATTTACGACAGTATTTAATTACCTCACCAAGCTCTAATCAACTTCACACTCAATTGAAAAGGAATGATCACAATGTATGTCGATTTAAATAGTGACTTGGGTGAAAGTTTTGGCTCGTGGAAAATGGGCAATGATGAGCAAATTTTACCTGTTGTCAGTAGCGCCAATATTGCCTGTGGCTTTCATGCAGGTGACCCGTTGGGAATATTGAAGACGCTTCAACAAGCAGTGAAATTAGATGTCACGATTGGTGCGCATGTTTCCTACCCAGATTTGGTTGGTTTTGGTCGCCGTAATATGGATTTGTCTCAAGACGAGCTAATCGCAGATGTGCTCTATCAAATTTCGGCACTTGACGGTTTGGCAAAAGTTGCTGGTTCAAAAGTGCAATATGTCAAGCCGCATGGAGCGTTGTATAACACCATTGCCAAAGATTCTGTACAAGCCGAAGCCGTGATTGAAGCTATTAAAATGTATAACCCTGCATTGGTACTGGTTGCTTTGGCTGGGTCAAATTTGGTTGCACAAGCACGTCAGGCAGGTCTAAAAGTGGTTTCAGAAGCCTTTGCTGATCGTGCTTATAACCGCGATGGCTCACTGGTTTCACGCCGTTTGGAAGGTGCTGTTTTGCATGATGCAGAGTTTGTGGCAAAACGTGTGGTTGCGATGTTAAAAAATGGTGGGGTTGAGTCAATTGATGGTGTCTTTACCCCAATTCAAGCTGATACGATTTGTTTGCATGGTGATACCGCAGGTGCACTAGAAATGTCCGCAGCGATTAAAGCTGAGCTGTTAACAAACGACATTCAAGTTCGTTCATTTTGTGCATAAAACAATAAGGACAAGACACATGTTTAAAGAGATTAAAGTCGATCCAGCTCAGCTAAAAGCTGCATTGGATGCGCGACAACAAATTCGTGCAGGTTTTGATCAACCTACAGCAGGAATGGCTGCTGGGATGACGCAAGTGAATATGATTTCTGTACCTAAAGACTGGGCATATGATTTCTTGTTGTACGCACAGCGTAATCCGCAAAGCTGTCCTGTATTAGATGTTTTGGAAGAAGGCGTATACCACTCTCGATTGGCTACTGACTCAGACATTCGTACTGATTTTCCACGATATCGTGTTTGGAAAGACGGTGAAATGGTCGATGAGCTCACGGATGCGAGTGAGCTTTATAACGCGCATCCTGATTTAGTGACCTTTTTAATTGGCTGTAGTTTCTCCTTTGAAACAGCTTTGCAAGAAGCGGGGATTGAAGTGCGTCATATCCATGACAAGACCAATGTACCGATGTATTTGAGTAATATCGAATGCCTTTCTGCTGGACGTATTTCAGGAAATATGGTGGTTTCTATGCGTCCCATTCCTGCCCATCAAATAGCTGAGGCTGTAAAAATTACGGCGCGTATGCCGAGTGTTCATGGTGCTCCCGTACATATTGGTCATCCTGAAAGTTTGGGCATACGCGATATCGATCAGCCAGATTTTGGTGATGCCTCACGTATTGAACAGGGTGAAATTCCAGTATTTTGGGCATGTGGTGTAACGCCTCAAGCTGCAATCATGAACTCGAAAATCCCATTTGCCATTAGCCATGCACCAGGACATATGTTGATTACAGACATACCTGATCGTGCATGGATGCGTTAAGACAAGAAAGGATCAGTAAATGCGATTTTTATCGGTAAATTCCGACAGTTTCTTGATTGAACTTTCTAGTTTAGAAGAAACTTTGGCGTTATACAGTAAATTGCAAAATTTACACTTGAATGGAATCAAAGATTTAATTCCTGCTGCAAAAACAATTTTAATTTGTTTTAACGAAATCAAGACTGACTTTAAAACCTTGAGTGTTTTGATTGGTACTTTAAAGCTTGATTCAGGCTTTGATCGAAATACGCAGGAAGTGATTATTCCGGTTCGTTACGATGGTGAAGATTTAGCACAAGTGGCGGAACTTCAAGGCCTCTCTATAGCCGATCTGATATTAAAACATCATCAAAGCACTTGGGACGTTGCCTTTATTGGCTTTGCTCCAGGTTTTGCTTATATGAGTAGCCTTGATCAGCCCTTTACAGATATTCCTCGTCTAAAAACACCACGTAAAAAAATTCCATCAGGTTCACTTGGGCTTGCTGGGCAATACTCGGGTATCTACCCAAAAGATAGTCCGGGTGGCTGGCAATTGATTGGAACAACGTCAGAAAAAATGTGGGATTTGGAGCGTCAAAATCCTGCGCTTTTACGACCAGGAATGCGGGTGCATTTTGAGGATATAACCCATCATCCTGTATCTGTGAATGTACCCAAGCAAATCACGCCACGACAAGATTTAACTTTAAAACAGTCCCTATTCAAAATCACGGCATCTGGCTTGCAAGTTTCGATTCAAGATGAAGGCCGTTTTCAGCACAGCAATATCGGTGTGGGTACAGCAGGGGCGATGGATGTCGCTTCGATGCATTGTGCCAATCGAATCGTGGGGAATCCAACGGATACGCCTGTGATTGAGGTGCTAAATGGCGGTTTAAAAGCAGTCATGCAAAATTCAGCTGTCATTAGCGTGGCAGGTGCAATTTCCAATATCCATGTGAAATTTGCAGATGGTCAAAAAGCAGATTTTGACAGCTATCAAGCAATTGCACTGGATGAGGGAGATGAATTTCAAATTCAAACGCCGAGCGCAGGGTTACGCAATTACCTTGCGGTTCGTGGTGGTTTGGATATTCAACCCGTTTTAAATAGCTGTTCTTTTGACAGTTTAGCCATTCTTGGTCCAGCCCCTTTAAAAACGGGTGATGTCATTTACCAAGGTCAAGTCGTCCCATCCAATATCAGCATCAACGAAGTGCCAAAATCCAATCTCCCGTCCCTTGGCGATACGATTGAACTTGATATTGTGATGGGACCTCGAACGGATTGGTTTGAGCAAAGCAGTATTGAAAAACTGTGCAATCAAGCATGGTTAGTCACCAATGAAAGTAATCGAGTGGGATTACGTTTATCTGGGAAAGCGCCCTTAACACGTAAGATTTGCCATGAATTGGAAAGCGAAGGCACATGTATTGGTGCTTTGCAGATTCCACCCAATGGTCAACCTGTATTGTTTATGAATGATCACCCATTAACAGGTGGTTATCCTGTGATTGCTTCGGTTGCCAAGCATCATTGGGATTTGGTGGCACAAATACCTGCGGATTGCCATATCAAATTTAGAAAAATCGCCGAATTTGTAGATATCGAGAACTAAGATGAACCAGCAAAAATATGTAAATGAAAAATTATTGATTGCCAATCGTGGTGAAATTGCTGTACGTATTATCCATGCTTGTCGTGATATGGGCATTGCTTCTGTGGCAATGTATGCAGATGACGATATCGGCAGTTTACATGTCGAACTTGCAGATGAAGCATGGGGTTTGGTTGGCGCAACCGCAAAAGAAACCTATTTAAATATTGATGCCATTATTGATATTGCTAAAAAATCAAAAGCCACCATGGTACATCCTGGTTATGGTTTTTTATCGGAACGGGCTGAATTTGCACAAGCTGTGATTGATGCAGGCTTGAAGTGGGTAGGCCCATCTCCTGAAGCCATTACCAAGTTGGGTGATAAAATTGAAGCACGTAAAATCGCCGCTTCAGTGGGTGCACCTTTGGTACAGGGCACACAAGACCCATTGAATAATGCGGATGAGGCTTTAGCCTTTGCAAAACAATATGGCTTGCCTATTGCAATTAAAGCGGCATTTGGTGGTGGTGGTCGTGGTTTAAAAGTGGTTTGGAAGCTTGAAGAAGTGAAAGAACTCTATGACTCTGCTGTCCGTGAAGCAAAAGCGGCCTTTGGTCGTGGCGAATGCTTTGTTGAGCAGTACTTAGACAATCCTCGTCATGTGGAAGCGCAAGTGATTGCCGACTTGCATGGGAATGTGGTGGTCTTAGGTACACGCGATTGTTCTTTACAGCGCCGCAATCAAAAATTAGTTGAGGAATCTCCAGCACCATTTATCAGTGATGAGATTTACCAAGAGATTTTAACTTCAGCAAAAAATATTTGTCAGGCTGCTCAGTATGTTGGAGCAGGGACAGTCGAGTATTTATTGAGCCAAAACGGAACTTTATCATTTTTAGAAGTCAATACGCGGTTGCAAGTTGAACATCCCGTGACCGAAGAAACAGCGCGAGTTGATTTGGTGGTTGAGCAAATTCAGGTGGCTTTGGGCGAAGAATTATCGATCAAAGAAACCCCTAAAGCACAAGGCCATGCCATTGAGTTTCGTATCAATGCAGAAGACCCTAGCCGTGGTTTTATTCCAGCATTTGGTACACTAAGTTTATTTGAAGCACCTTTTGGTCATGGTGTGCGTGTCGATACTGGCGTGCGTACAGGCTCTCTGGTTTCCAGCCATTTCGATTCTTTAATGGCAAAGCTGATTGTGACGGGGGAAACGCGTGAAATCGCAATACGCCGCGCAAAACGCGCTTTAAAGCAGTTTAAAATTGAGGGGGTGGCTTCAGTTTTAGATTTTCATCGTGCCGTGCTGAATGAGCCTGATTTTACCGACGAATTTAAAGTACATACGCGTTGGATTGAAAATGATTTTAAACAAGACTTAAAATCAACTCGACGCGCGATTCCTCAGCATCAACAAGCGATGGTTTTAAGCTATATCGAAATTGATGGGAAATTACACCGTCTAGGCTTACCTGCAGGAATGTTTGCTCAAGGTGCAGTTCAGGTGGAGCAACAACCAGCGCAAAGCACAGAGTTCGCACTTCAACCTGAGCACTTACAAGCGCCTATTAACGGGGCAATCATTGCTTGGAAAGTCCAAACCGGAGAGCAAGTTCGTGCAGGGCAAGTTGTGGCAATTATGGAAGCCATGAAAATGGAAGTTCAAGTTTTGGCACATCAAAGTGGTCAAATTGAATTGCTGAAAGAAGTCGGGAGCACGTGTCAGGCTGATCAAGTGATTGCAACCATCCAATAATATTTATCTTTAAAATCTAAAACTTATACATTTAAGTCAGGTGGAATTGGGAATTTAGGATTAAATTTCCAATTTTATTTGACCTTTTGTTGAAAGCTGGTTGTAATGCTTGCCACTGTTCAGTTGCAAACTTTTTGACCATGCCGAATAAAGCTGTTCTTCTCGATCTTGAAAATAATATGCCTACAGCCAAAATGCTGCGGGAGATTATTGAACATTACCCAACACTTTATCTTTTCAATTGTACGGGACAATTCCAGTACTCACTGGAAGATTTAACTGAATTTTCAGGCTGGGTGAGCAGTGGTCAGGTGGTGATTTTAGAAGTACCGAATGCATCTGAAAAAGAATATGAATATGCAGTTGTGGTGGGACAATTATTGGCATTATTAGAGCCAGAGATCCAGATTGAAGTCATTTCTGCGATGCCAAGTTGTTCCTTATTGTTAGATCTGATGCGTAGCGCTGATCTAGCGTGTAGTTTTATTCAAGTCCAATCCACGTTGGAACGTCAACGCAACAAGTACTCGATACCTAGTCTACAAACCATTCAAAATAAGCCGTATTTGCAAATGGTTAAAAAGTATTGCGATGCTTTGGGAGAGATGACAGGCAAACCGAATACCATTGAAAAATTAAAGAATTCTATTGTGAATATTTTACAAGTTGTGCCAGAAAAAGCTCAGCATCTGGTCGGCATGTTAATCAATTTAAAAATTGTCAAACGCTTTGATGATCAGGTGGCTTATCGTAAAAAAGTCTTGAAACAATGGACAAGTCTTGACATCGACAAGCCTGTTTTAGCACACCCAGTTGAGACTGAATCCGCAGCACAACCCAATATCAAACTTGAAAAAATTGATCAAATTTTAGAAAAATTACGTGTTGATTCAGATCAGGTGTTACAGGAAATGGATCAGCAAGACTCTGTGGGTGCAGTACATCAGGTTTTGTTTAAAAACTTTGCAAAAATAGATCCAGTGCAAATTGAAGTTATTCATAAATTGAATAATTTAAAAACCGATAAACCTAAAGATATTTATGAGTTGCGTGATTTATTGGAGCAAATGTTTCCAAAATCTGATATCCGTTTATTGCTTAAAGAATTGATTGAAAAAGGCTATATTTATTGGAATGGTCATGAAGTTGTTTATAGCCATGAAATGTATTTAAATTAGGGCGATTTTTAAGCTGCTCAGAGCAATATAAAAAAGCGCTTAGATTTGAATATTTAGCGCTTTTTTATTAAGCCATACACTATAGTTTTATAACTTTGCTTATGCTTATAAATTTGCTACGCCACCATCGACCAAGAGTTCGCTACCGACAATAAATTTAGCTTCATCAGAAGCAAGATAAATAAAGGCATTGGCAATTTCGACTGGATCCGCCAACCTTTGAATTGGAACAAGATTTTCAATACTGGCTTTGAGCTGTTCAACTTCAGCGGGTGTATTCGCAACTTTGTTGAGGGCAGGGGTTAAGGTTGGTCCTGGTGAAAGTAAGTTAAATCGTATTTGCTGGGCTAAAAGTTCTCTAGATAAGGTCTTAACCAAAGAACGCAAGGCGATTTTTGAGGCAGCATAAACGCTACTTTTCTCTAAGGCGATATGAATACTGGTCGAACCACATAAAATCACTGAAGCATGGGGCTTGATCATTGGAAGTAAGCGTTGTATCAGGAAAAATGGACCTTTTACATTGGTATCGAAAATCGCATCGAATTGTTCAACGGTCCATTGTCCAAATGCTTCATGGCTAACATTGCCTGCATTGATATAAATCACATCGAATTTAATGGATAATTCTTGCATTTTCTCAATAAAATGATCTTGTGATACTAAGCTTGAGTGATCACATTGGATGCCCAAACTTTGGCTGCCGAATTGTGCTTGTGTCAGTACAATTTGATCTGGATTTCGGCCAGTAAACACAACAAAAGCACCTTCTTCTATTGCACGTTGTGCTGCTGCAAAACCGATTCCACTGGTTGCGCCAGTAATTAAAACCGTTTTATTCTTTAATCGCATGTTTTTCACTAAAATGTCTACAAACTCTTATATTGTGAAAATTTATTTGTCAAAGTAAGTACTTACCAATTGGTGACTTAGTCGTTGTTTGGTTTGAAATAGACTAAACTCAAAGGCTATAAAATGTAGCTTTATGTAAGGTAGAAAAATGACGACACTGCAATATGAGCAAAATTGTTCGATTATGCGATTTGTTGGATTATTTTCGGGAAAATGGGTATTGCCAATTGTCTATCATCTTATTGAAGCAAAACATCCTGTTCGATTTAGCCAATTACAGAAGGCTTTAGCGCCAATCCCACAAAAAGAGTTGTCGAAACATTTAAAACTGCTGGAGCAACACCAACTTATAACAAAGCAGATTTACCCAGAAGTACCGCCTAGAGTGGAATATCAAATTACCGAATTAGGACAAACGCTGCAAAGCGCTATTCAGTCATTGGGAAGCTGGATGGAGCTTTATGAAAAAAATATAAATGAAAAATAAGAAATTAAACTGACCTCAAAATCAGTAATTGGCGGTAATTTTAATTTTAAACTTGCGTTTTATATTCAGCTTATGCAACTCTAATATAGGAATTAAAAGGTGAACTATGGAACACACTGGTCTTTGGGTTGCGCTCGTTATTATTGTTTTTGTATTGGGCTCAATTTTTGGCTTACGCGTAAGCCCTAGAGAAAAAGCATTAGGTTTAATGCGAGAGAAAGCACGCAAGATGGGCTTACACCCACGTTTAGTGGCTGCACCAGAGTGGACGAAAATCCCGATGGCAACAGAGTCTCGTGCGAGTATGGTGGCTTATTATAGTGTACTGATTCCAGATGCACGCTTAGCTTTGATGCGCGCCCGTGTAGAAGAGCAAAAGCTTCAAGTGGTCCTCGGTGATGAGAAATTTAAAGATTTTCCCATTGCATTAAAAGGGATTTATGCTATTGATATGCAGGCCAACTGTGTAGGGCTTTATTGGGATGAAGAATCTGACCTCAGAGCAACACAGCTTGATGATATGAAGGCATATTTACTTAAATTGGCTGAAATTTAACTTAATAATAGGAACAGTGGTTTATTATGGCGAACGCTCCTCGGTCCACATCCAAAAGCACAACAGCAAATTCTCCTGATGCTGGGAAAAAACGTGCATTAGTGATTGTGGAGTCGCCTGCAAAAGCGAAAACGATTAATAAATATTTAGGCTCAAATTACATTGTGAAGTCTTCGGTAGGTCATGTTCGTGATTTACCTACAGGTGGTTCAAGTAAATCGACAGAAAAAAAGCCTGCAACGCGTACCAAGTTGACGGATGAACAGAAGGCTGAAAAAGCACAATCCGCTTTAGTCAATCGTATGGGTGTCGATCCTGAGCATGGCTGGAAAGCCAAGTATGAAGTGCTTCCAGGCAAAGAACATGTGGTCGCTGAACTCAAAAAACTAGCCAAAGATGCAGATGAAATCTATCTCGCAACGGATTTGGATAGAGAAGGAGAAGCGATTGCGTGGCATTTAAGAGAAGTGATTGGTGGTGATGATAGCCGTTACCATCGTGTGGTCTTTAACGAGATTACCAAAAATGCCATTCAAGAAGCATTTAAACAACCTACACGTCTAGATTTAAACCGTGTGAATGCGCAACAGGCTCGTCGTTTTCTCGACCGTGTGGTGGGCTTCATGGTTTCACCACTACTGTGGGAAAAGATTGCGCGTGGCCTCTCTGCTGGGCGTGTACAGTCGGTTGCAGTAAAATTGGTGGTCGAGCGTGAGCGTGAGATTCGTGCCTTTATTCCTGAAGAATACTGGCAAGTTTTTGCAGACACTCATTCTGCAAAAGATGAAATTCGTTTAGAAGCAGTCAAACAAGGTGGCAAAACATTAAAATTACAAAATAAAGCGCAAACAGATGCTTTATTGAAAATTTTAAAAGATGCTGAATATAAAGTTGCAACACGTGAAGATAAGCCAACGAAAGTCAATCCAAGTGCGCCTTATATCACTTCAACCTTGCAACAAGCTGCAAGTACTCGCTTAGGTTTTTCAGTAAAGAAAACCATGATGCTTGCACAGCGCTTATATGAAGCTGGTTTTATTACTTATATGCGTACTGACTCAACATTCTTGAGTGATGATGCTGTCAGTATGGTGCGTAATCATATTGAAACTGAATTTGGTGCAAAGTACTTACCTGCTAAAGCAAATCGTTATGGGAATAAAGCCAATGCGCAAGAAGCCCATGAAGCGATTCGTCCTTCCAATGTTGCCTTAAAAGGCGATAGTTTGGCGGGTGTTGAGCGTGATGCACAACGTTTATATGATTTGATCTGGCGTCAATTTGTTGCATGTCAAATGACCCCAGCAGAGTATTTATCCTCAACGATTTTGGTTGATGCGAATGGTGTAGAACTCAAAGCCAAAGGTCGTACTTTAGTTTTTGATGGTTTTACCAAAGTTCGTGGTCAGAACAAGTCTGATGATGATGTTTTATTACCTGCAGTCAAAGTGGGTGAAATTCTCAAACTTGAGAAACTTGATCCTTCTCAACACTTTACTAAACCACCTGCACGTTTTACTGAAGCATCTTTAGTAAAAGAGTTGGAAAAACGTGGAATCGGTCGTCCATCGACTTATGCTGCGATTATTTCGACGATTCAAGATCGTGGTTATGTCAAACTCGACAATCGCCGTCTTTTTGCAGAGAAGATGGGTGAAATTGTTACCGATCGTCTAGACGAGAATTTTAATAACCTGATGAATTATGCATTTACTGCAGATTTGGAAGGTCAATTGGATAAAGTTGCAGATGGTGAACGTAATTGGAAAGAGCTGTTAGATAGTTTCTACGGTGATTTTAAAAAGCGTTTAACCACAGCACAGGGCGAAAACGGCATGCGCCGTAATCAACCTGTAGAAGTTGAAGCTGTTCACTGTAAAGAATGTGAACGCCCGATGCAGATTCGTACAGGGACGACGGGTGTATTCCTTGGTTGTTCTGGTTATAACTTGCCACCAAAAGAACGCTGTAAAGGTACATTGAATTTAACACCAGTTGAGTCGTTGGCTATACTTTCTGATGATGACAGTGCTGAAACTGCTGACTTAATGTCGAAAAAACGTTGTCCAGTATGTGGTACTGCAATGGACAGCTATGTGATTGATGGTGGTCGCAAGTTACATATTTGTGGAAATAACCCGGATTGTGATGGTTACGAGCTGGAAGAAGGCGAGTTCAAAATCAAGGGTTATGATGGTCCAACCATTCCATGTGATAAATGTGATGGCGAGATGCAGTTGAAAACGGGTCGTTTTGGTCCATATTTCGCTTGTATGAGTTGTGACAATACCCGTAAAGTTTTGAAAAATGGTCAGCCAGCGCCACCTCGTGTCGACCCAATCAAAATGGAACATTTACGTTCAGTCAAACATGATGATTACTTTGTTCTACGTGATGGAGCAGCGGGTTTATTCTTGGCGGCAAGCAAATTCCCTAAAGTACGCGAAACACGTGCACCGAAGGTTGCGGAGTTACGTTCAGTTGCAGATCAACTTGATCCTAAGTATCAGTTTATCTTGCAAGCACCTGATCAAGATCCAGATGGTAATCCAACATTGGTTAAGTTTAGCCGTAAAAACCAAGCGCAATATATTGGTTCAGAAACCCCAGAAGGTAAACAAACCAAATGGTCTTTGGTCTACCAAGATGGGAAATGGGTAGAAGCTTAATCCATAAATATTTAAAAATGCTGGCCTAGGTCAGCATTTTTATTGCGATTAAAAATTGAGAATATATTCAATGTGGAAAAAGATTCGAGTTGGTATTTTACTGGTCATTCTGCTGATTGTTGCAGTGAACGCATGGCGTGATATGAACCAAGATTGGAGCAAGCCAATCGTTGTTTTATTACATCCAATCAATGCAGATGGTCAACGCTCCACATCAGCCTATATTCAGCAAATTTCAACAGATGATCTTGAGGAAATTGAACACTATTTAGGTTTACAGTCTCAAGCATTTCGTGGGCAACCGATTTCGTTTCATTTTCAGCTTGGACGTGAATTAAATATCTTGCCGCCTAAGTTCCCAGAATCAGGTCGTATCTTGGATACAGTTTTGTGGAGCTTAAAATTTAGATTTTATGCATGGAAACAGCATCAAGGCGAAGATGGCTCACCATCGGTGACCCTGTATTTAAATTATTATGATCCCAAGTTGCAGAAAGTATTGAAACACTCTACTGCATTGGAGCGTGGGCGTATTGGCTCAGTGAATTTATTTGCATCACGAAAGCAAAGTTCGAGTAATAAAGTCGTTCTTGTACATGAGTTATTGCATACCTTTGGTGCAAAAGACAAATATGATTTTACAACAGGGCAGCCTCTCTATCCGACAGGCTATGCCAATCCTGAACAACAACCACGTTATCCACAACAGCGTGCAGAAATTATGGGCGGCTATATTGCGCTTTCTGAAAATAAAAGCAAGACACCTGAAGATCTAGAAGATACCATGATCAGTCGACTCACTGCACAAGAAATGGGTTGGGTGAAGTAGCGTATAGAGCTGTGCTGTTTATCGCTTAGATTCTGCTCAAACAAAGCTTTATTCTGGTATAGATGCAGATTTTATACAGACAAACACCTGAATTAGATCAACAATAAAATGAATGAATAACAACCAAGAGAAGAATTATGCGTACTGTAGGAAATGATTTAGTTCGTCATCAACTCCATGAAAACCGTAAATGGTATCTTCTGCTTGGAGCTTTATTGGTGATCTTTGGATTAGTGCTATTGGCTTCACTGGGTATGGCAACATTGACGGTTGTTGCATTGTTTGGTGCTTTAATGATGATCGGTGGGGTTTTACACCTGATTGCAGCATTTAAAATTTTTGATGGTGGCTTCCGCTGGCTTTGGGCGTTGTTTGGTGTGTTGTATATCGCAGCGGGTTATTATGCATTTAAATCTCCGATTACCACTGCAGTGGTATTAACCAATTTACTGGCAATTGCTTTATTGATTGGCGGTTTTATTCGTATTTTTAATGCGTTTATGTTGAAACCAATGTCTGGATGGGGTTGGACATTATTTTCAGGGCTTTTAACCTTGGCAACAGGTGCAATTATTCTGGCATCACCAGACTCTCCTTTTTGGGTACTCGGATTATTTTTAGGTGTGGATATTTTGTTCCAAGGAGTCAACTATCTCACCTTTGCTGCGGCAATTAAACAAATCCCACCTGCGAGTCATTAAGGTTTCATTTAATGTTTTAAATCATATGTGCTTTTAACAAAACGCCTGATCAATGAGATCAGGCGTTTTGCATTTTGGTGTAAATTTTTATGCAACTAGAGCAGTATTCAGTTAAATCTTATCTCAATTAACCTTCCTAAAAAGCGAGGTGTTACCTAGATAAATGATTTAAGCGTTGAAACTTAGCTTATTTCACGACTTTATATTGGCTGGAAATGGCGATACGGTTCCATGTGTTGATCACAATCGCAACCCATTCAATCGCCGTGATTTCATCACTGGATAAATGCTGTGCAGCTTGTTCATAAACGCTATCTGGAAAATGTTGATTGGCAATTAAAGTGATCTCTTCAATTAAAATTAAAGCCGCACGTTCTTTTTCAGTAAAGTATTCACTTTCACGCCAAGCACTAATCAACGCAATACGATCCATTGACTCGCCCGCTTTAATTGCATCTTGGGTATGCATACGAACACAGAAAGCACATTGGTTAATTTGCGAGGCTCTTAATTTGAGCAAATGAGAGAATCCAACATCAAGCCCAGCTTGCTGAACTTTTTGCATAGATAAGTTTTCAAGCTCGATGACCGTTTTATATAGTTCTGGGGCAGTCTTACCAAGGTTTACACGTTGCATAGTTGTCATTTCTTTAGTCTTAATTATGAATTTATTAGTTTATCTATACTCGAAAAATCGTTATGTTAATTTTTGAATCTCACCAAAATGCATTTGCTCATGTCTAAAGTTTTTGTTCTTGCGCCTGACTCATTTAAAGAAAGTATGACAGCCGAACAAGCCTGTTTTGCAATGCAACGTGGCATTGAAAAAGTCATTGCTGATGCACAGTTTATTCATGTACCTATGGCAGATGGTGGCGAGGGAACAGTCGATGCTTTGGTCGCTGCACGAAGTGGTCGAAAAGTATATATTGAGGTCACTGGTCCATTGGCTCAGCAACGAATATCGACCTATTGGGGATTAATTGATAGCGGTCAAACGGCTGTTATAGAAATGGCGCTGGCAAACGGTATTCATCTGATCGAGAAGTCTCAACGCAATCCTTTAATTACATCAACTCTGGGTACAGGGGAAATGATCAAAGCCGCTTTGGATTTGGGTGTTGGTAAAATCATTATTGGTCTGGGTGGTAGTGTTACCAATGATGCTGGTGCCGGGATGGCACAGGCTTTAGGGGCAAAATTTTTAGATGAAAACAACCACCCTGTAGAAGTGGGTGGTGGGCAGCTTCAGCAGATCAAAAGCATTGATATTTCACAACTCGATGCGCGTTTAAAAGCGACTGAGATTATTATTGCCAGTGATGTAAACAATCCGTTATGTGGTCCAAATGGTGCTTCTTTTATTTTTGCGCCACAGAAAGGAGCAACTGCTGAGATGGTTGGGATCTTAGATCAAAACCTTGATCATTTTGCTGCGTTGGTGAAACAACAATTGAATGTTGATGTTGCAAATGTACAGGGTGCTGGTGCTGCAGGCGGTTTGGGTTTCGGACTTATGGCTTTTACAGGAGCAAAAATACGCTCTGGTGTAGAAATTGTGATTAAAGAAACCCAACTTGAGGAAAAAATTGCACAAGCGGATTATGTGTTTACTGGTGAGGGCGGTATTGATTTTCAAACCAAGTTTGGCAAAACGCCTTTTGGGGTGGCGCAAGTTGCCAAGCAGTTGAATAAACCTGTGATTGCTTTTGCAGGGCATATCGGTGAAGGCGTCGATGAGCTTTATGCAGAAGGCTTTAGTGCAATTTTTGGAATAGTTGATGGTGCATGTGATTTAGCAACAGCATTAAAGCATGGTGAGCAAAATTTAGAACGCTGTTGTGAGAGTGTGGCACGGTTGTTAAGATTATAGGGTTGTTTTTATTATCGAAGCTCTCCTTTAATCTCTGCTATGGGTGATAAATTTTATTGTCTTGAATTTTTCTTCATTGGTATGTCCTGATTTAAGCGTCAATTCACGACTTGATTCTTGGGTTAAAATGCATAATTTCACTATAGCTCTGCTAAACTAGCAGCCATCCATAAAATGATGAGTGAAAATGAGTTTAGCCAACCTGATTGATGAATTAAACCCTCAACAAAAACAAGCTGCTACGACTGAAACAAAACATAGTCTAGTTCTTGCTGGGGCAGGTTGTGGCAAAACCAAAACCATTGTGGCACGAGCTGCATATCTCATTGATCAAGGCATTCCTGCCAATCAAATCCAAATTTTGACATTTACCCGCCGTTCTGCCAGCGAGATTGTGGCGCGGGTAGAGCTTGCTTTAGGTGATCAGGCCAAAGGGTTACGCGCATCTACATTTCATACCTTTTGCATGTATTTACTCAGACGCGTGCCAAAAGCTTTTGGATTAGATCAATTTTCGATCATAGATCGTGATGATCAATTGATGTTGTTCCGTTTGATTCGTGGAAAGGATGATAAAAAGAATCCCAACGCCTTACCTAAACCACAACAGCTTTGTGATTTATATTCCTTTGCACGCAATACTCGGCAAAAACTAAGTTTGGCTTTAGAAAAGCAACTGCCTGAGTTTTTAGACAATAAAGAGCAAATCGCTGAAATCATGAAAGAGTACGAAATCCGTAAGCGGGCACGTAGTTTTCTAGATTACGATGATATTCTCGCCGTGGTTGCATCTGCTTTGGCGCAGTCCGATGGTTTAGCGGATTATGTTGCGGGCTTATGCCAGTACATGCTAGTTGATGAAATGCAAGATACCAATCCTTTGCAGTGGGCAATTCTTGAACCATTAAAAGATAAAACATCACTGTTCTGCGTGGGGGACGATGCACAGTCGATTTATGGTTTTCGTGGTGCGGATTTTGAAAATATCCACCATTTTAAAGAGCGTGTGCCAGATGCAGAGATTTTCAAATTAGAAAAAAATTATCGTTCTACTCAAGAAATTTTAGATTTTTCCAACTGGTTACTCGATCAAAGTTCGATTCATTACGATAAAAAACTGGAAGCTTATCGTGGTGATGGTATTAAACCGCGAATGCATGTTTTTCCAAACGAGTTTGATGAAGCAAAATGGATCGCGATCGACATCAAAGAGCGGCATTTATTGGAAGGTTCAGCTTGGCATGACCATATGGTGTTGGTGCGCTCAGCCTTTGCGGCAAGACATATTGAGGCTGCTTTTATCCAAGCCAATGTTCCCTACCGATTTATTGGAGGGATGAAGTTACTTGAAACAGCGCATGTCAAAGACTTATTGAGTTTATTGCGTGTTATTGCTAATCCATTGGATGATATTGCGTGGATGCGGTTTTTAACCTTATGGAATGGCGTGGGCGACGTCGGTGCGAGTAAGCTGGCGCAACAGCTCTTACTGGATGCAGATATTGAGAAAATTACAGAAAAATTAGAGAAGTTTGGGCGCATTCCTGACAATACATTGCTGATTATGAAGCAAATGAGTGTATTAAAAACCGAAGTTGAAGCCTGTGTGAAACTCGGTGTAGAGGCTATTCTCAACCAACTTGAAGAAAACTATGCCAAAAAAGATTGGCATAAACGGGTGGGTGATTTTGATCTGGTCAAGCAACTGGCGTCTAAACATACCCAACTGAGCGAGTTCTTAGAAGAATATGTACTTGACCCTGTTTCAATCAGTGAAATTGAGCGTCAGTCGCAAGATGATGTGGTAACTTTAATTACCATCCATTCTGCTAAAGGTACAGAACAAAAGGTTTGCTATGTGGCAAATGTCTCTGCTGGACAGTACCCAAATGCACGTGCGCAAGGCAATTTCGATGAAGTTGAAGAAGAGCGCCGTGTACTTTATGTGGCTTTAACACGTGCTCAAAATGAACTTATTCTAACCAAACAAAATTTAAGTTTTTGGGCACATACGCAAACAGATGAACAAGGTCGTAAGATTGAAAGTTATTTTCTCAATGATTTAACTCGAAATTTATGTAGCACAGAAACCCACTATAGACAGCGAGAGCAAACTGTAAAAAGTGCCCTAATCGAGCGTCGGGCGATTAATTTAGATTTTGGTATAGATCTAGATTAAACTATAGCAATCGTTTTTCATTCAAAAAGTAGGTAGGCGAGTGCTTTTTGATGTTTTTTGCCTCGTTTATATTTTAAGGTTGTGAGATGAAAATTTTAGTTCGTAATTTAGAACGTACTGTAACTGAAGCTGAATTGTTAGAGTTATTTAAGCAATACGGTACAGTAGATACTTGTACTTTAGTACTCGATGCGGCAACAGGTAAATCGAAAGGTTTTGCTTTTGTTGAAATGCCACATGGTAGAGAAGCAGTTAAAGCGATTAAAGGTTTAAATACCTTGCGCTTACATGGTCATGGAATTCGTGTAAAAGCAGCGGAAGATAAGCCAGAAGCATAATTGGCAGATAGTCTAAGGAGCATTTATTGCTCCTTTTTTTTATTTTAGTATTTAAATAATCTCGTCAAACCATGATAAAAATAAAAACTTAAATTGATATTCTTGCAAAAACGAGCGCTATCTATTTTATTGACATACAACATGGATAAAATTCATTGTGATTTTTGTTCAATAAAGATTAAGCTAAGACTGTAAAGAATGCCAAAATCTTAGGGAACTTCCATGTCACGTGTAGCTCGCTTTCATGCAGACCGTACCAATCAAAAACTTTATTTTGCTCGTCTTGCATGTATGCAGGGAGAACAAACTGAAAATGTTCAACAAGCTCAAGCACATCGTGAAGCAGCAGTATTTCATTTACATGGCGCGGTTTTAGCATTTCTGCAAGAGTTGGTACGTTATTACCGTTTAAATGATTTTTCCCCAACCTTAAAGTCAATCGAAGAAAATATGGCGGCTAAAGGACAAGTCTCACCAGAAGTTTTAGTGATGCAAAAATTAGCCAAAGAAGGATTTATTGCTGAACTCAAAAGAGCGTATCGACTTTGTCAATATGCACCTGAACCAAGTGCGCCAGAACCAGAGGATGAAACATCATCAAACTTAATTATCAAAGTGACGCAAACACCACAAGCTTGGTTGCCTGATACAAAGATTTTAAGAGAGTGGCACCGAGATTTATCGCAACTTATTGATGGTTTTCGTAATGAAATGGTTGAATTCTGATCTTTTTGATCAGATATACTTGAAATTTTGTTTTAAATGACTATATAAAATATCTACAAGATGCAAAGTGCATTCAGCACCTTGCCCCATGTTGAGCATGGAGGATTTATGTCTATCGAACAGTTAAAAGAGTTATTTGGAAATCAGGAAGCTATTTTGGAGTTGGTACAGCTCGAAAGTGGGGAGCTGGCACTGCGTAATGCAGGTTCTGAAAAAGAGCCCTTGGTCACTATTCAATTTAATGAAGAAGTGAAAGCATTACTGGGTGATCAAACGCCAGCGATTGCACAACAGATGATTCAGGCTGCATTATTTGCGTTACTTGAAAAACAGGCAGATGAATGGCACGCTGAAGTTGTTGATGAACAACCAAAATTTATGAGCTAGTGATTTCATTTATTCTAGAATAAATACAATAAACGCACTTTCGAGTGCGTTTTTCTTTGTAGGTAAATAACCTGACATACGCAAATGGCGTCAAATTCTAGAAGTTTTAAATCTTTTGTTAGATGGGGCGATGATGCCCCATCCAACATCGTTATCGATACCATTACATAAAGGAAGCACCACGACTTTCCAAGGTCCACAAAGAACAGTCGTGTGGTTTTAGCTACGTTTTAAAGATCTACGTTTTAAAGATGACCCGAATTCAATGTGTTGGTTCATGATGATGAGCAATTTGGATCTGGTTTAAAATATGATTACTCATGTTTTTCGCCATTTCCTCTTTTGCATAATAGACTTCACCGACATTGTCTTTACGGATCACTTCAGCTTCTTCTTTATTTTCAGCACAGACTAACACTTGAATTTCTGGATTAAGCAGCTTGGCTGTATCGACAATTTTATGAATATCTACAATATCCATCGGTGAAATCACCAATAGTCGTGCATGTTGGATATGGGCTTGAATCAAAACACTGGGTTCTGTTGCTCGACCAGAAACCGCAGCGATGCCTTTTTCACGCAAATTCTCTACAATTTCGCGGTTCTCTTCAGCGATGACCACTTTGATGCCATCATCCATCAATGTTTTGGTAATACGACGTCCGACTTCACCATGACCAACAATCACCACTTGATCACGTAAATACGCTTGATCAACTTCATCTGGAAGCATTGCCAATGGGTCACCGCTACGCTCAAGTAAGCGCGCCAAATGCGAACGCTCACGGATCCAGTTTTGCACAGGTTCGATCGCAGAAAATAGAAATGAATTGAGGGTGATAGAAAATAAAGCACCCGCTAAGATTAAGTTTTGCGCTTCAGGGCTAAGTAATCCCAGTGACAAGCCTAAGGTTGCCAGAATAAAGGAGAACTCTCCAATTTGTGCCAAACTGGCGCCCACTGTTAATGCTGTATTGATGGGATAACGGAAAAATAACACCAATGCCATCGCTGCCAGCGTCTTACCAATCATAATAATGGCAATGACTGCTAAAATATGCAGAGGCTGTTCCACAATAATACGTGGATCAAATAACATCCCGACAGAAACGAAGAACAAAATCGAGAAAATTTCGCGTAAAGGTAAGGTTTCTTCTTCTGCACGATGACTAAAATCTGATTCTTTAACCACCATTCCGGCAAAGAACGCTCCAAGTGCCATAGAAACGCCGAAGATTGCGTATGAGCCATAAGCGATTGAAACTGCTGCTGCGACTACGGTTAAAGTAAAAAGCTCTCTAGAGCCTAAACGTGCCACATATTGCATAATCATTGGCACAAGGCGTTTGCCAATGATGAGCATAAAGGCGATAAAACCAGTTACTTTTAATAGGGTGATGCCGAGTGTTAACCAAATGTTTTGATCAGATTCATGTCCTGCAATAGGATGTCCGCCTAAAAGTACAGCTGTTGCAGGCAGTAGAACCAAGACTAAAACCATGACCAGATCTTCGACCAGCAACCAGCCAACGGCAATCTTACCATTCACCGAGTTAAGTAGCCCTTTGTCACCTAATGCTTTGAGTAAAACCACCGTACTTGCACAGGATAAACTTAAGCCAAAGACCAGTGCAGAACCAAAGCTCCAGCCCCAAAAGATGGAAACTGCCATACCCAGTAAGGTCGCAACCGCGATTTGTAAAATTGCACCAGGGAGGGCAATTTTTCGGACTTGCATTAAATCGTTGAGGGAAAAATGCATCCCGACACCGAACATCAAGAACATGACGCCTAATTCAGCAAGCTGATTGGCCAGCGCGATGTCTGCAACAACACCTGGGGTATTGGGGCTGATGATAATTCCCGCAATTAAATAACCAATCAAAGGTGGCAGGCGTAATCGTGCAGCGATATAGCCAAAGATCAGGGCTATACCAAAACCAACTGCAAGTAAAATAATCAGATCTACATCATGAGGCACTAAATACTCCTTAAATCTTCAGGAGAAATCATTCAAAAAATCATTTCTTAAGGTAATGACTTTGTATAAAGCCATATAAAATGCACAATCAGTGCCAAATTCGCTAAAGAGTTTAACAAGTCGAAGAAAAAAAAGGCAAAAAAAACGACCCAAATGGATCGTATTTTTTAAGAAAACTAAAATTATTTAATTTTAGCTTCTTTGAAGATTACGTGTTGACGGATTTTTGGATCAAATTTTTTGATTTCCATTTTTTCCGGCATAGTACGTTTGTTCTTAGTAGTGGTATAGAAATAACCTGTACCAGCAGTAGAAACTAAGCGAATTTTATCACGCATGGTTCAGACTCCTTAGATCTTTTGACCTTGAGCACGAAGGTCAGCAACAACCTTTTCAATGCCCAATTTGTCGATAATACGCATACCTTTAGTGGTTAGACGAAGACGTACAAAACGTTTTTCGCTTTCTAACCAGAAACGGTGGTGATGCAGGTTCGGCTCGAACCGGCGTTTAGTTTTGTTGTTGGCGTGTGAGACGTTGTTACCAACGACTGGACGCTTGCCGGTAACTTGGCAAACCTTAGACATGGTGTAACTCCATTGATTTAGCCAACAGCAAATCTGTATGGCCAGTCAAAATAAAACGGATTGAATTCATTCAAGGGGCGTTTTATACCAAAATTCCGCTTAAAAGACAAGCGGAATTCGTCAAAACGCAACATGATCTAATTTGATAGATCATGCCTTGATCAGTTAGCGTAAGAAAGTTTTCTCTAAAATCTTATTTAGGGCTTTGTCATAAGGCGCTAATATGAATTTTAAGCTAAATAGCTTAGGAATAGACATTACTGAACGCTCATGTGATAAACCAAAGAAACCTTCTGGGCCATGATATTTGCCCATGCCAGATGCACCAACGCCACCAAATGGTAAATCGTCTTGTGCAACATGGGTAACTACGGCATTTTGACCGAAATGCCCAGAATGGGTACGTTGAGAAACGTATTCTGCGCGGGCATTGTCAAAGTCGAAATAGTATAAAGCAAGTGGACGCGGTCTGCCATTAATAAAGTCAATTACATCGTCAATTTGATCATATTCCATAATTGGAAGCACTGGACCAAAGATTTCATTCTTCATAATGTCCATTGTCGGTAGAACACCTGTTAAGAATGTTGGGGCAATTTTACGTACACTCGCTAATTCTTCATTTTGAGGATTGATTTCAATCAACTCAGCGCCTTGTTGACGTGCATCCTCTAAATAACCTTGAACACGGTTGTACTGCTTATCGTTGATAATGCTGGTGTAATCTTGATTATCACGAATCGTCGGGTACATTGTTGTTGCAGCTTGTTTAAAGCTTTCAATAAACTCGGCAGTTTTTCCTCGAGGTAGGAACATATAGTCTGGTGCTACACAGGTTTGACCAGAGTTCCACAATTTACCAAAAGCAATACGTTCAGCGACCAGATTGAGATCGCTTGAAGGATGTACGATTACAGGTGATTTACCACCAAGCTCAAGAATAACAGGCACTAGATTTTCGGCAGCAGCAGACATCACGGTTTTACCGACATTGGTAGAGCCAGTAAAAATGATTTTATCGAATGCTAAATGTGAAAATGCATCGGAAATTTGACCACCGCCATTCACCACGGCAACCAATTCTTGTGGAAATGCTTCTGAGAGTGCATTTTCAAGTACGAAGCCAAAATTAGAAGATGAACTTGAAATTTTGAGTATTGCGTGATTTCCAGCAGCCAGTGCACAAATCAGTGGGCCAACAGAAAGCAATAATGGATAGTTCCATGGTGCAATAATTCCAATCACACCTAAAGGCTGATATTGCACCCAAGCTTTGGCTGGTTGGTGTAAGATAGACACATGGCGCTTAGATGGTTTCATCCATGCTGTTAAATGCTTGCTATAATATTTAATTTGTTCTAAACATGTGAGTAGTTCACCAATTTTAGTTTCGCTGATTGAACGATTGCCGTAGTCTTGATTGATTGCTTCTGCAAATTGATCTTGGTATTTTACCAGAACTTTCTTTAAGCGAGCTAAACGTTCAATACGTTCCTTTGCTGTAGGAACAGGGTAGCGTTGATAAGCGACTTTCTGTTGTTCAAGAATGTCATGCATACGTTGAACTTCAGGTGAGTAAGAAGTCATTGAATTTGTTTTTGTATGACTGTTCATGACAAACACCATTTACGAATAGGTTAATATAATATAATTTTTAGAGTAAATACTCTAAATAGTCAAGTCACTTTATGTTAGCTTGTGCTAACGGTTAAAAATGGTAATAGGATGTCGAGCTCCAAAACTTTGAAAACGAAAGACCGAATTTTGCAGATTAGTTTGCAACTTTTTAATGAGCGCGGCGAACGTGCAGTTACAACGAATCATATTGCAGCAGAGCTTGGGATCAGTCCTGGAAATTTGTATTATCATTTTCGAAACAAACAAGAAATCATCAAAGAATTGATGGAACAATACCAAAAAGAAACTTTAGATATGCTGTCATTACCCGATGACCGTGGAGTCAATGCGAATGACAAAATCCGTTATTTCCAAGTTTTAAGCAGTCAGCTATGGGAATATCGCTTTCTACATCGTGATGTTTATCATTTAATTGAAAATAACGACGACTTTAGAAAAATTTATCCTCGCTTTGCTGGCAAGGTGATGCAACAAGGGCAAAAAATTTATCATGCCTTTGTTGAAGCAGGGCTGATGCAGATGACACCTTCTGAAATTGAAGCACTCATCATCAATATTTGGATTGTCCTGACCAACTGGACCAACTTCCTATATATGTCTGGGCATTTAAGTGACTCCAACCATTTAGATGAAAAATGGATTTGGCAAGCATTGCGCCAGATGGTGTTTTTAGAAGGTCCTTATTTACGTGGCGAAAGTCGTGAAACCTATGAACGTTTGCTAGAAAGCTTCGGTTCTTCGGAATTATTTGCCAGTTTATCTGCGGTAAAACGCGATTGATGCTGAATCAAGATTGAAAGCTGATGAAAAAGCGTTAAAATATTCGGCTGTTTTTTAAATTAACTTATAAGTGATATCCATCAACATGAACATGACTACTGCCAACACAGCACGTCTACTGATTACTTGTGAAGACAAGCCAGGAATCGTGCAAGCTGTATCGAGCTTTTTGTATCATCAGGGCGCGAACATTACTGCGCTTGATCAATACGCAACTGAAGCTCAGGGCGGGCGTTATTTTATGCGTGTTGAGTTTGAACTTGATCATTTGCAATCCCGTCGTGAGAGTCTCATTCAAACTTTCGCAACCAATGTGGCTGAACGTTATAGTATGCATTGGCGTTTGGCTTTGGTCAGTGACATTAAAAAAGTCGGTATTTTGGTGTCTAAAGTTGACCATGCTTTGCTTGAATTGTTGTGGCGTCATTCACGTGGTGGCTTACCTTGTGAAATTACTCAAGTGGTTTCAAACCATGAAGACTTACGTGAATCTGTAGAAAACTTTGGTATTCCTTTCTATGTGGTTCCTGTCAACAAAGAAAATAAACGTGAAGCCTATACAAAGATCGATGAGTTAATGCAAGGGAATGATTTATTGGTTCTCGCGCGTTATATGCAAATTCTCGATGAAGAGTTTGTACAAAAGTGGGAAATGAAAGTGATCAATATTCATCACTCATTTTTACCTGCTTTTGTGGGGGCAAATCCATATAAACAGGCTTATGAAAAAGGCGTTAAATTGATTGGGGCAACAGCGCATTATGTGACGGCTGATCTGGATCAAGGCCCAATCATTGAGCAAGATGTAGAACGAGTAAACCACGATTTTACTGTGGATCAACTGCGTGAATTAGGCCAAGATGTTGAACGTAACGTACTTGCTAGAGCGGTCAAATGGCATCTAGAAGACCGTATTATTGTCGATGGTAATAAGACTGTTGTTTTTCAATAACATGTGAATATTCATTTAATATGAGTAGTAAAAAAGGATGCTTTATGCATCCTTTTTTTATTTTTAATTTGTAAAATCGATTAAAAACATTGAAAAACCAGTTGCAAATGAAAACACTTCTCATTTATCATTGTTGCACTTTAATTGTTCTATCCGATGAGCTTAATCTACAAACTGAATAATTTTTTGTAGTTTGCTCAATTTTAGGTATTTAGATTCTTATGAGTCAGTCTTCCATTGCACCACTTCAAACGCCACCACCGATGAAGAAAAAAGTCCTTGCTGCAGTGTTAGCAGTTGTTGTCGGGCACGTAGGTGTGTTGTGGGGGGTAAGTCATATGAAACCATTTGAACTGCCTCAAATAAAGAAAGAACCTTTAAAAATCAAATTTTTAAAGTTAAAAGAAGATGTTCCACCGCCGCCACCTCCTCCATCTGAACCCATCAAACCTAAAGTTCAACCGAAACCTATAGAGAAGAAAGTTGAGCCTAAACCTGTGGTTAAGCCAAAAATCATTGAGCAGAAAAAACCTGTAGAAAATGATGATCGGGCAAGAAAGCTTGAAGAACAAAAGCGTTTAGAAGAGCAACAGAAGCAGGATAAGGCACGTCAAGATGAGCAAAAACGTCAAGATGATCAGAAGCGTGCGGAACAGCAGAAACGTGAACAAGATGAACGTGATCGTCAAAAACGTGAGCAAGATGAGCGCGATCATCAACGTCGTGATCAAGAGCAAAGAAACACGCCGCGTAATGTAAATGAAGGTCAGGTGTCTTGGAGTCGTAGTCCACGTATCGCAAAAGAGCAATTACTTAAACTGATGTCTCCAGAAGATGGAACAAAAGTTGTGAATCTAGAAATTACTGCGGATGCGGGCGGAAATATTACCAATGTTCGTATTCTTCAATCTAGTGGTAATTCAAGTTTAGATAGTTATGTTGTTAAGCAGACTCAATCTGCAAAATTTAAAGCTTATAGAGAAAATGGTGCGGGTGTACCATTTAAAATTAGGCAAGATTTTGCATTGTCGGTCTCTAAAAAGTAAATAATTTTTTTAAGAATTAGGAAATGTGCATATGAACTTTTCAGTTTATTGGCAACATGCTGATGCGGTCAGTAAGACACTGTATTTCGTGTTATTGGCAATGTCTATTGCAACGTGGACTGTGTTCATTTTGCGTATTCTAGGCACGCGTCAACTCAAGCAGGTTGCTCAGGATCACCTTGCTCAGGCTTTAAAAGCATTAAAAGCCAAGCTTGCGCCATTAAGCTTTGACCAACGTAAAGCAGTTGCAGAACAAGCGTTACTACGTCAAATCTCAGCAGAAAAGGCCAATGCTGAAAAAGGTGTTTCAGTTTTAGGAACGATTGCTTCACTTGCACCATTTGTTGGTTTATTTGGTACGGTATGGGGAATCTTCCACGCACTTGTTGCTGTAGGTAAAAGTGGTCAAGCAGGTTTAGCTCAAGTTGCAACGCCAGTTGGTGAGGCATTGATCATGACCGGTCTAGGTCTTGCTGTTGCGATTCCAGCGGTATTGGCATATAACATTTGCGTACGTTTTAACCGTACATTGTCAAATGAGTTGCAAGATCAAGCACATGGTTTGTTAATTGATACGATGTTACAACAAGATTCTTCAACGCAAAAAGTTGAATCTGAATCTACCAGTAAAGGTTTAGTTGGAGGTCAAGCTTAATGGCTTTTCAATTGGGAGAAGACAACGATTCTGGCATGAATGAGATGAATCTCATTCCGCTGATCGATATTATGTTGGTATTGATGATCATCTTCTTGGTGACAGCTACCGTTGCTAACCCATCGATACCATTAACTTTACCAAAGACCACTGCTGAAGTAATCGCGTCTCCACCTGAAGCAATTACCATCAGTATCAATCAGAATGGCGATGTGGCTTGGAATGATAAAGTCATCACTTTAGATGAATTGGCTAAACGATTTGATGAAGAAGGTCAAAAGCCAGTAAAACCAGCTGTACAGTTGAGAGCGGATAAAGAATCTCGCTATGATACCGTTGCACAAGTGATGTCTCGTGCAAGTGAAGCAGGATTAAATGATCTTGCCTTTATGAGTGATAATTAATTTAAATAATTACAAATATTTTAAAACCTCCTTTTAAGGAGGTTTTTTTATGTTGATATTTTGGCTATTGGGTTAGTTCACTTTTGTTATATAAAGTGAAGTATTTTCAGTGATCTTATTCTTTTAAAAGATCTTGAAATTGGCTATGAAGTTTGAGTAATTTTGGTGGAATGGCAAAATTACAATAACCTTGCGCAGGATTACGGGCAAAGAAGTTTTGATGATATTCTTCGGCAGGATGGAAGGTGGGTGCTGGACTGAGTTCAGTCACAATATTTAAACCATCTGCTTTAAGCTGCTCAATAAATTGTTCAGATTCAAGTTTTTGCTGTTCATTGAAGTAATAAATCACCGAACGATATTGTGTTCCAATATCATTGCCTTGGCGGTTTAATGTAGTTGGATCATGAATTGCAAAAAAAACCGTGAGTAATTGTTGATAATTGATTTGCTGTTCATCAAATTCAATCAAAATCACTTCAGCATGATTGGTATCCCCATTACAAATTGCTTCATAAGTTGGATTGGGAGTATGCCCGCCAGCATAACCACTGACTACGTGATTGACACCTTTGAGCTGTAAAAATACGGCTTCGGTACACCAAAAGCAGCCACCACCAAATAGAGCCTGTTGCATGTGAAGATCCCTTTATTTTTAAATTATGGAAAAGACGAAACGATGCCAAAGATCATATCGTGAACTTGCTTAGTTTGTCATATAACCATTTAAGCATAGGTACAATACCTGTTTGATTCACTAAACAGATCTGTTTAAATTGTTGCAAAATTTTAAAAGTGCAATCTATTCGAATTGCTGTAAAAACTTAAGCTTTTCCATTTAAGGTGAACCAAAAGACATTCAATAGAATGCCTTCTATATTCATGAGAATTTATTCGTCATCTAATAAATCCATTTGTTTTGCAATTTGATAGAGGTTATTTGAACGATTACCTGTACGACAAAACATGAGTACTGGTTTTGGAAGCTCGTTAAAGCGGTTGGCAAAGCTTCTGACATCAACTTCTGTGATTTGACCAGCAACGACAGGTAGAAATACATAGTCCAAACCTGCAGCACGTGCAGCTTCTTCAATTTGAGCACTTGTAGGCTGTTCTGTTCCGCCTTCCATATCAGGACGATTATTCATTATAGACTTAAAGCCTTTTTCTGCCACTTGAGCAATATGTTCTGGACCAATTTGACCAGCAAAACCAACATTTTCACTCATTTCGTCACTCCTATATGATTTAAAATCCAATATGCTATATATAATAGCATTAAGCTCAGAACTGAGTTTGAACGATAAAAGATTTATAAAAGAAATATCTATAAAAGATAACGCAATGGAGTGTGTATGTACGCATATACAGTTGAACCACTATATATTCCCATTGGACAAGAAGTCATAGCGGCGGATTTTTATCGACCTAAAAATCTAAAAAAACCTGCTGTTATTATTATGGCTCATGGATTTGCATGTTTAAGACAATTTAAGTTGGTGAGCTATGCGCAAAAAATTGCACAGGCAGGCTATGCGGTTGTGCTGTTTGATTATCGTTTTTGGGGAGGAAGTACAGGCTTTCCTCGTGAACTGATTTCATTGCAGAATCAGTTGGATGATTGGAAAACCGTGGTCAGTTATGTCGCAACACAAAAGAAAATTAATCCAAAAAAAATAGCGCTTTGGGGGACCTCTTTGAGTGGAGGCTATGTACTTAGTCTTGCAAGTGAGCTAAAGAGTGTCCAAGCTATTATGGTGCAAGTGCCTTATGTGGATGGGGCAGAAACTGCAAAATTGTTTCCAATTCAACAGTTACCCAAGGCATTAAAAATATCCAGTCAAGATTATATGGGGGCAAAAGTTGGTATGCTTCTACGAACCTTACCTGTGGTACATCCCTTTGATTTATGTTTTATTCCGACCAAAGATAGTTATAACGGCTATATGTCGATTGTAAATCCAGACTACTTTTGGAGTGGTGAAGTTCCGGCACGGGTATTTTTTAATTTAATCCGTTTTAGACCAATTCAGACTGTCAGAAGTATTAATATTCCTGTGCTATTTATTGCGGCTAAAAAAGACAGTTTTATCCCCATTGAATCTAGCCGAGAAACGGCAACAAATATTGCACCTTTTGTGCAATATCATGAATGGGATATGGCACATTTTGATATTTATCATGGGAAATGGTTGGAAAAATCAATTTTGACCCAATTAGAGTTTTTACATCAACATATTGGAGTGAGCTAGATGATTATTGTATGCCCATCATGTGGCGCAAAAAACCGAGTTCCCGAAGATAAACTAAATGCTCAACCCACTTGTGGTCAATGTCATCAAAATTTGATTGCACTTGCTCCTATTGAGTTAAATGAACAAAATTTCAGTAACTTTGTCAGTCATAGTGATTTGCCAATTATGATTGATTTATGGGCAGAGTGGTGTGGCCCATGCAAAATGATGGCACCGCATTTTGCTGAAGTTGCAAAAAATAACCCCCATGTGGTTTTTGCTAAAATTGATACTGAAGCGAATCCACGGTTAAGTAGTGCATTTAATATTCGCAGTATCCCAACCGTGGTTTTAATGAATAAAACCACGGAAGTTGCTAGAATAAGTGGTGCGTTACGTGCTAACCAATTACAAGAATGGTTAGATCAACAATTGAATGCCCATAAGTAATTCACGGGCTCGGAGTTATTGTGTCAGATTCTCATGTAAAACCTGAAGGTACACTGTCTTTACAAACCATCGCAATGCCAGCAGATACAAACTGGAGTGGTGATGTTTTTGGTGGTTGGATTGTTTCACAAATGGATTTGGCTGGTGCAATTCATGCAGAACGCTTTAGTAAAGGGCGTTGTGCAACGATTTCGATTAATCAGATGACTTTTCTTGTTCCCGTAAAAGTGGGGGATGTGATCAGCTGTTATACCAAGCTTTTAAAGGTCGGTAATACATCGATTCAAATGCAGATCGAAGTTTGGGATAGTCATGACAGTTCTCGTGCTGCCAAACGTGTCACTGCAGGTGTATTTACCTTTGTCGCTGTAGATGTTGCGGGAAATAAACGCCAAATTCCTGAAGATGTAAAGCAGAAGTATTTAGCGTCGCAAAGTGCTTGAATGCTCAAGATAAAAAAATCCCAACATTGTTTGGGATTTCTTATGGAATAGGTGCTTAGATCGTTTGATTTAAATACTGTGTTAAAACATGGTATTGCTGTTGGCGCTTGATTCTGGAACAGCTTGTTGTACATCCCAGTGTTCAACAATTTTTCCATTTTCGACTCTAAAGATATCGACAATCGCAACACCACGATCTTGTGGATTTTGAGCTGAATGAACGTGTAAAAATACTAAGTTTCCTTCTGCGACAGCACGTTTGATTACACTTTTTGCTTCAGGATTTTTTTGGAAATACTGGGTAAAGTGATTTACAAAGGGCGCTTTACCATCTGGAACACGCGGATTGTGCTGAATATATTGGTCACCAATATAACGATCTGCATATGCTTTAACTTGATGCTTTTGAAATACACCTTCATAAAAATCAGTCACAATGGCTTTATTTTGTTGCGCTTGTTGGGTGTTTGATTTCGCTGCTAATGTGTTGCCCGTTGCAGCAGTAGCAACGTGACTTGGATTTTGGGCACATGCAGTGAGAAACAAAATAGGGCTTAGAATGAGGCTGAGTACAATAATTTTTCTTGGCGTAGCTGATCGCATGGTTATTCTCTATAGTTCAAATCTCAATAGTTCAAGATGGTGGTGGAAATAACACCATCTTGATGAGTAAATAAGCATGAATATAGTGAATAATCGTCACTCATTATTTGTACTTTGGTAAATTTTATACTTACTGAGCAGTAAGTTTTATTTACATTTGCAGATTTGTATTTATTTCTTTTTTAGGCGTTCTTTTGACACCCAAGCCCACACCATTTGGCATTCTACAGGCTCTTTTCCAGACTCATCCATAATGGTGACTGGAACCAGCGTTTCACCTTTTTCAGAGCTTTGCATTTCTAAAATTTGTTCTTTGCTCAATGTCGCTGTTGCTGTCATATCACCTTTAGATGGTCGTTTATATTCAATATGCATGCTTTTGATCAAGACAATTGAACTATCAGGAACATTCATACCTGTGACAAAGCCTGTTGCTGTTTCAGCAATCAACGCCATTGCAACAGCGTGTAATTGTCCAATATGGTTGTGCATGGCACGGTGGTTTTTAATTTCCACCACAACTTTTGAATGGCTGACTTCTAGGTACTTAATATTGGCTGTGCCCACCATAGGCACAACTCGACCAAACGCCTTACTCCAGAGCGTACTACGAATGCCTTTAGGGAATTTAGAAGTCGCTTTCACAAGTTTAGATAAACGGTTGGTCTGAGTCATGTCTTAACCTATAGTGTTGCTAAAGACCTTAGTCTTTGAAGTTATTAAATTGTAAAGGTACACCGAATTGTTGTTCTTTTAAAAATGCCATAACTTGCTGTAATGTATCGCGCTTTTTATCAGTTACACGTATCTTGTCACCTTGGATAGAAGATTGCACTTTGACGCCACTTTCTTTAATGGCTTTATTAATTTTTTTTGCGGTATCTGAGTCAAGTCCATCTTTAAGCTTGATCACTTGCACAATATTTTTACCTGAAGCCGTCATTTTTTGTGGATCAAGGGCTTGAATATCGATTTTACGTTTAAAGAAATGATTTTCAAGCATGCTATAGACTTGTTCACACTGGAAATCACTTTCAGTTGAAATTTTAATTTCTTTGGCTTTTTCATTAATTTCGATTGAAACGTCCTGACCACGGAAGTCAAAGCGTGTTGCAATTTCTTTTTGTGTGTTTTGAACAGCATGATTTACTTCAAAAATCTCTAATTCTGAAACAATATCGAAAGATGGCATAGTTTAGACCTTTACAAATGGAAAGAATATCTGAGATGCTAGGGATGTTTTCTTCATTTGCCAAGTGTTGTTTACATCAAAGGAGTGCACAATGATCCGTAAATTAGAAATTACAACATTTGAGTTCCCAGAAAATGCAGTTATCTGGGATGTTCGTGATGCAAAAGCCTTTGCCGAAGGCCATGTAAAAGGGGCTGTAAATCAGCCTATAGATGGTTTAAGTGCTGAGAGCTTGACTCAAGTGAATTCGGATCAGTCCATTTACATTTTATGTGGTGGTGGAAGTAAAGCGCCTCGAGCTGCTGAAAAATTAGAGAGTTTAGATGATTCTCGTGATTACGTTGTACTTATGGGGGGAACACGTGCAGCACGTGATGCAGGTCTCCCATTAGAACAGGGTTCATAAAAAAGCGCCGAAAGGCGCTTTTTTATTACGATAATCAATAAAAAAGAATCATGATTGAATCGGTTTAAAATAAGGTTTTTTGGCTTTTACTTTCTTTTGAAAGCGGTTTGGATTTAATTTTTGCAATAAATTTTGGGGAATCGGGCAAGCTTGATTAAGGACCAAAGCCACCAAGATTTCACTACACAAGGGCGCAAATAAAAAACCTTTAGAGCCAAGCCCAGAAAATGTATAAATCTCTTTCTCAGCTTCAACTTTTCCCAGTAATGGAAAATAGTCCAGACTTTGGGCTCGTACAGAAGCACGCCCGTGCCATTCATCTACTTTGCAGAGTGATTCTGCGTATTGTGGAAACACACTGTGGATAAGTTCATAGTTATGCACATGGTCTTCAAGCAAAACTTCAGTGTCATCACGATTGGGATAAAAAGAAGCACCTAAAATCAAATGCTGCTCATCAAGCTGCATGCAGTAGCCACCATAACTGTAAGCATATTGCGGATCTAATCGGTGTTTAACATTGTTGAGCCAACTGACTTGTCCACGGATCGGTTTGAGTATCGGGAACTGATCAAAAAAAGCATGGCTTTCCTTGGCACAACATACAATCACATGATTAAAATCACCAAGATCTGTGTGCTGGCTATTTTGTAGTGTTAATTGATGATGATTCGATTGAACAATACTATGAATGTGAGCATGTTTAAATTGAATCAGCGGATGTTCAAGAATTTGGTCTTTGAGTTGCTGGGGATAAATTGAACCCGCTTGAGTGAGCTGTAAGCTCTCTAGCGTGGTTTGTAGCTCTAAATCATCGGCTGTTTGAGTTTTGAGTAAATCTTGAGGATATTGCGCTGCTAAACCCAGTAAATGTTCAGCATTTTTTTGTGCTAATTGTTGAACCGCAATAGCACGAAAAGCCTGAAATTTTGGATAGTGCTGTAGGGCATGTTGCCAAGCCAAGGTCATTAAATGTTCCGAACTTTGCTCGATAGGGCATAGTTTCGGATTTAATAAGGCCAGAGGATTACCAGAAGCACCTGCTAAAGGCGCTGATTGGTCGTAAATCGTAACTTGATGTCCTCTTTGGGCAAATCCCCATGCGCAGCTTAAACCTGCAATTCCAGCACCAATGATGGCAATGTGGCGTTGATTTAAATTATTTTGATTTTTCCCTATTTTTTTTTGAATGTTTTGCGCTGCAAGGTCCATTGACTGAGATTGATTTTCTTCGGCTGCTTGTTCAGGCGCATTCCAAATGGCTTTTAGCATTTCACGTTTATGACCAAAACCGCGCGGACGTGAAATAGTGATTCCATGCTGTTTTAGACCCCGTTTAAGCACACCTGCCACGCTAAATGAGGCAAAAGTTGTTCCAAAATCTGACAGTCTGACAATATTGTTTAAAACTTTGTCTTCCCACATGTTTGGATTACAAGAAGGGGCAAATCCATCTAAAAACCATGCGTTAACTTGTTGGGCTTTTATCATTGCTGGAAATACATCATGTGCATCACCTAACCACAGATCAATTGAAAAACGCGCTTCTGGAAAGTTTAAACGGTGACAACCAGCGATGGGCAATGGATAGTGTTGAATCAACTGATCAGAAAATTGTTGAAGTTCAGTCCAGACCTTTAACGCACGGGTTAAATCCTGTTTAGACAAGGGGAACTTCTCTATACTGATCACATGTAGGTGGCTATGATTATCTGGACGAACATTGTGCCAAAGTTGCCACAATGCCAAAATATTTAATCCTGTACCAAAGCCAGTTTCACCAACACAGAAATATTCAAAATCATCTAAATCTGCAAGTCGTGTTGAAAGATCATTACCATTCAAAAATACGTGTCGGGTTTCAAGTAACCCGTTGTCTTTAGAAAAATAGACATCACCAAATTGTTTGGAAATTGGAACTTCAATTCCATCAATACATTGCCAGTCTAAATCGGCAGTTTGAATGGCATTTGACAAAGCAGATTACCTTTTGATAATTAAAATGAAAAAACCTGACATTTCGCAGTATCAGGTTATAGCGTGAAACTTTCTAAGTGCAAAGTCAAAGCAGTGGGCTTACCACTGACGACGACGTTTGGTATAGATATAACTTGCGATTAAAAAGCCAAGTAAAACACCAACAGCAATGGTCGCAGCACCATATAAGAACATTTGCGCACTTTGTTCACTTTGTAGAACTTGAACTTGTACACCCAGATTGTCATTTTTGAGTTGTAATTCTTGGTTCTGTGAAAGGGCTTCTAAATTGGCCTTTTCAAGTTGCTGTAAACGTGTTGCTTGGTCTTTAACCAAAGCTTTAGCTTTGGCATCTTGAGACGCTTTTTCTTTGCTAATTTGTTCAGCCGTTAAAGGTTTATTTTCTTGTGCTTGCGCCTGTGTTTGGGTGTTGGAATTTGCACCTGCTACAGCAGGAATAATACTCGGTTTTGGCGGTGCAACAGGTTGGGTCGCCTGAGTAGGCGCTGCCGTCGTTGCTTGAGTCGCTGAAGATTGAGTAGGCTCAGCCGATACAACAGGTGATAAAAGTACAAAAGAACTTAAAGTCAGGCTAAGTAAGCTTTGGACGACAACGCGCATTATGTTATCCCTTAGGCAATGCTTTATTGAATGGTTTAACATCAATATGACTATAAATCCCTTCTTTTAAGAAAGGTTCGTCTTTTAACCATTCATCCAAAGCTTCACGGCTGTCAAAATCGAGAATTAAAGTACTGCCATAAAAACCTGCTTGTGGATTTTCACGATCAATCGGCATCGCCCCAGCCACGATGACACGGCCTTCAGCATCTAACTTTTCGAGTCGAGCTAAATGTTGTGGGCGTACAGCAAGACGTTTTTCTACTGTACCTGCTTGATCTGTACACGTAATTACAAATAATGGCATGATATTTCTCGATTTTCTAAAACACTTTATTCATCGGTAGATTTAAAGTGTTTTCGTAATATAACAAACTGGATAATAATAAAGGAAAACATGACGATCATGTCACCAAATGCTGTAAATTCACCCCAATATTTTCCACCTGCAAATAAAAATGCGAAGAAAATATGTAAACAAGACATGACAATGAACATTGCAGCCCATGCAAAGTTTAGATTTTTCCAGCCTTTTTCAGTCAGGTTTAAAACAGGACCAAATAATCTTTGAATGAGTGGCTTCTTTTCTTTACCAAAATAGGGAGAGAGTAAGAACGCGCCAGCAAAGGCTAAATTCAAAATTGCAGCTTTCAGGCGAATATAGAAGTCATCACTCAACATTAAGGTGATTCCGCCAAAAATGACGGTCATGAACAAAACAAACCATTGTTGTTTATCCAGACGGAATTTTTGGAAAATGAATAATGCACCATAGACCACAAGCATTGAAATAATCAGACCTGTAGTTGCAACAAGAATGTTGTTGTTATTTACACCACCTGCTGAGCCGATCAATTGTAATAATGGATGATCGGTGTTTTTAGGATCAACCGTTTTGTATAAATAAAAGAAAATTATGAGGGGCACAAAGTCTAAAAGTGCTTTCATGTTAAAGTATCTAGTCTGTTCAGGTTGATGGGATAGTATAAAAGATGCAAGGCATAGATTTACATACTCACAGTAATATTTCTGATGGGACTCTGACGCCAGAGTTATTGGTTCAAGCTGCCATCGAGAAAAGCATACATACACTTGCATTGACGGACCACGATAGCATGGATGGCTTAATACAAGCTGAACAATTTGCAAAAAATCAACCAATTCAAATCATTTCAGGTGTAGAAATCTCTAGTCAATGGTCCAGACCTGAGACTAAAAAAAGTTATGGTGTGCATATTGTTGCGCTCAATATGCAAAATCCTGAACCATTACAACAGCTTTTAACGCAACAGAAGAAAATTCGTGCTGAGCGAGCCAAGCAAATCTGTGATCTGCTAATTCCTTTGATTCATCAGGATATTTATGCAGAAGTTGTGGCAAAGGTGGATGGTGAACCTGATCGGATTACTCGGACGCATATTGCCAAGACGCTTGTAGAAAAGGGTTTTGTTCAGCGCGCACAGCAGGCATTTGATAAATACATTAAGGAAGGTAAAAAAGCCTATGTAAAATTTGATGGTTTAGGTTTGGCAGAAACCATTCAGGTGATTCATGAAAGTCAAGGTTTTGCAGTATTGGCACACCCAACACGTTATGATCTATCAGCAACAAATACCCGTTATTTAATTGAAATCTTTGCACAATATGGTGGTGATGCTGTTGAGCTTCCACCCGCAATGGAACCCGCTTCAACACGACAAATGGTTGATCGAATGATTGCTGAATATGGTTTAAAAGTCTCTGTGGGGAGTGATTTTCATGGTGATAATATGCCTTGGATTAAATTAGGCAATATTCCACGCGTCAAAGAAGGGCAAGTAGGGATTTGGGAGAGTTTCCGATAATACACCGTGATGATGTATTCAAATACTTAGATTTTCGAATGAGATCTGTTTTTGAAAGGCATCTCATTTGAATGAAACAAAAAATCCCTCTAGAGCAGAGGGATTTGGGGTTGATTATAAAATCAACTTTCTTTAACAGTATAAGGGTTTTCAAAGCCTAGTTTTTTCAAGATTTCAATTTCGAGTGCTTCCATTTCTTCAGCATCATCATCAGAAGTTTCATGGTCATAACCCATTAAATGTAAGGTGCCATGAACCAGCATATGAGTGAAATGCTCAATCGGTGTCTTTTGTTGTTCAATCGACTCTTGTAAAACCACGGGGATGCAAATGACTAAATCACCGATGGGTAATGCATCGAGCATGGGTAAAACTTCTTCTGGAATTTCACTTGGAAAAGACAATACATTGGTGGGTTTGTCTTTTTCACGATATTCAAAATTTAATTTGTGACTTTCATCTTCATCAACACACGCAATTCCGATTTCACAATCTTGGTCTACATCAATATGACGTAGTGTTGTTTCAATGACTTTTTTTACATAGAGACGTTTGAGCACCAATTCTGGTGCTTCAAACGCTTGTTGTAACGATAAGCTAAGTTTCAAAAACAGTCCTTAAACATTTTCCTGATTTGCAGCAGTATGTTCTTCATGTTGAGCATCTGCGGCAGAATCATTTTCAGAAATTAAGGCTTCTTGACGTGCTTTACGTTCTGCACGTGCTTCAGCACTTAAACGGTATTGTTCACTGTCCCATCCTTCATAAGCCTCTACAATTTTTTGTACCAGCTGGTGACGAACGACATCACGGGAATGGAAGCGAGTGATGTGAATTTCTTTGATCTTTTCGATAATACGCAATGCGTGAGCAAGACCAGACTGTTGCCCGCGTGGTAAATCGACCTGTGTAATATCCCCGGTGATCACTGCACGAGAACCAAAACCTAAACGGGTCAAAAACATCTTCATCTGTTCAGGGGTGGTGTTTTGTGCTTCATCGAGAATTACAAAGGAATGATTTAATGTACGACCACGCATATAAGCAAGTGGTGCAACTTCAATCACTTGGCGCTCAATCAGTTTTGCAACTTTTTCAAAACCAAGCATTTCATACAACGCATCATATAGCGGGCGTAGATATGGGTCGATCTTTTGGCTTAAATCACCCGGCAAGAAACCAAGTTTTTCTCCAGCTTCAACAGCAGGGCGAACCAAAAGGATACGTTGAATTTCATTACGTTCTAGCATATCTACCGCAGCAGCGACTGCAAGATAGGTTTTACCTGTACCTGCAGGGCCGATTCCGAAAGAAATATCACTTTGTAGAATACGTTGTACATAACGTTTTTGATTGGCACCACGAGGGTTGATTCGACCTTTACGCGTTTGCAACCAGACATCATCTAAACCGGTATGCTCATTGTCTGAAAGGTCGTCTTGTAACTCACGGTCAGTTTGGCTGCCTTGAATCATCAAATGAATCGTATCAGCACTGATTTGCTGAGAGAGTTCAGCTTCTGCATGCAAACGCTGCAATAAACCTTCTGCTCTCTCAACTGCTTCTAAATCACCATCGATATAGAAGTTATCGTTGCGATGAGAAATGTTGACATTTAAACGTTGTTCGATTTGTTTCAGATGACCGTTATAAGCACCTAACATGCTTTTTAAACGTTCAACTGAAATACCTGGAAAAGCTACTGTACGTCGAATCGCTGCAGTCAAGAGATATCCTTTTTTAAAGTAAAGTCTATACCCTTACATTACGCCACGTCAGGCTCAAGATTCAAGAGTTCTCCATAAACTAAATTTAGGGTCTTAATCTCTGTAACCTCAATCTCTGCAAAGCGTCCGACCCAAGAGGCGTCACCTACAAATGTTACTAAACGTGTATTGTCAGCTGTACCGACCAATAAATTTGGATCTTTATTAGAAACATTTTCAACCAGTACACGTTGAATGGTCCCTAACATCGCATCGGTTTTACGAATACTTGATTGCTTAATCCAGTGTTGAACTTTGGCTAAACGTTCTTTCTTGACTGCATCAGAGGTGTCATCAGGTAATTCAGACGCTGGTGTGCCAGGACGTTTTGAATAAACAAAACTATAAGAATGATCAAAGTCTAAATCTTGGATAAACTGATAGGTTTCTTCAAAATGTACATCAGTTTCACCAGGGAAGCCGATGATGAAATCTGAAGATAAATGCATATCTGGACGAGCTTTACGCAGTTTGGCAATCTTTTCGATATAGACATCAATGGTGTGGTTACGCTTCATCGCTTGTAACACATCATTTGAGCCACTTTGTACTGGTAAATGCAGATGTGAAACCATTTGTGGTAGGTCACGGTAGCATTGAATTAAATCTTCATTAAATTCGAGCGGATGTGAGGTTGTATAACGTAAACGACCGATTCCTGGAATTTCTGCAACCAGACGTAATAAATCTGCAAAGGTACAAATTTCACCTTCAAAAGTTTCACCACGGTAGCCATTTACATTTTGTCCTAAAAGGCTAATTTCACGAACGCCTTTTTCAGCCAAACCAGCGATTTCTGCCAAGACATCATCCAAAGGACGAGAAACTTCTTCACCACGAGTATAGGGAACCACACAGAAAGAACAGTACTTTGAACAACCTTCCATGATTGAAACAAACGCTTTGTAACCTTCAACACGCGGTTCAGGTAAAAAGTCGAATTTTTCAATGTCAGGGAATGAAATATCTACGAGTTTAATTTTGTCTTTTTTCGGTTTTTCGATTTGCTCAACATGCTGATCCAGCATTTGCGGTAAACGGTGCAAGGTTTGAGGGCCAAAAACCATATCGACATACGGTGCACGTTTTTGAATGTTGTCGCCTTCTTGAGAAGCAACACATCCACCAACACCGATGACGAGATCAGGATTTTTTTCTTTTAATTTGCGCCAGCGACCCAACTCAGAAAATACTTTTTCTTGGGCTTTTTCTCGAATTGAGCAGGTATTCATTAACAGGATATCTGCGTCACTTGGATCTTTGGTTAAAATATAACCGTGTGAGTCGCCTAAAAGATCTGCCATACGATGACTGTCATACTCATTCATCTGACACCCTTGCGTTTCGATATACAGTTTTTTTACTGCACCGTCGGCTGGGGTGTGCTGTGGCTGGGTTACAGTGTTTTCTGAGGCAGCTTTGGCACCATTGGGAATGAAGGTTTGAACCGTCATGGAGGCGTCTTTCCTATGAATAAAGGGAATTTTGAATGTGTACTAAGCCTGCTATTTTAACAGACTCATAAAAGGCGCGCCATTTTATAGCATTTAGAGTGAACTCAGTAAAATATTTAGCGGCTATTGCCATTTATTGGATTGTAGGGCATTGAAAATGAAAATTATGAAGAAAAAATAGAGAACAATATTAATGATGAATCATAAGGTTACATAACACAACAGTAGAAATGGATTAGAATAATTAAACTAGGCACAAATAAGTGCATCAGTATGTTAAAGGCACATCATGCAGGTTGAGAGAAAAACGGTGTTAAAGCAGCAACTTAAGCAAAATAAATTAAAACTTTACCTTTTAGGAACAGTTGCATGTACAAGCCTGCAAGTGGCCCATGCTGCTGAAGAGCAGTTTAATGATGCTTTACGTAATGCAAATAATCCAAGCGCTTTAGAACAGTATCGTTCTTCAATGCAAAATGATGCTTTGGGCTATTATCCTGAGTATTGGTCACTGAATTCAAATCTCGCTTTTCAACCTTCTGCAAATATTATTAGCTTTGCGCAACGTTATCCTCAATCGGCGATGGCGGAAAAGTTAGCTGCGGATTATGTCGAAGAAAAGGTGAAACAAGCAGATTACGCCAGCGCGCAACCTGTATTGCAATATGTCTCTAATCCAGATCAAGCAGAACGTTGTGCTGTTGCTCAAGTTCGTGCGAAAACTGGAGACGTTTTGGTCTATGCTGAATTTAAAGATGTTTGGTTGGCAACCAATTCTCAACCTGAATCATGCAATGGTTTAGGCCGCATGATGCTTAGTAGCCCACTCATGACCGCCCAAGATCGCCAACAACGATTATATGCACAACTGAGAGCAGGGCAGTCTGGTCTAGCCATCGCTACCGCACAAACGATTGGCGTTAATTTATCGTTAACCCAATTGAACCAAATCCAAACCAATCCATTAAATTCTTTATGGTCTGCACCAAAAAACAATGTAGAAGATTATGCTTATTTGGTTTATGCATTGGGTCGTGCAGCAGATACGGATTTAACCAGCGCTTTGCAGTCGGTACCTAAGTTGGTTCAGGGTGTACCAGCAGATGTACAAAAATATATTTATCGTACAGTCGGTTATATCGGCGGAACGACCGTCATGAAAAATAATTTTAATCGTGAAGTACTGCAAAATTTTGATGCAAGCTATGGTGTGCCTTTCAGTGCAGAAGAAGCAGAAGTTTATGCACGACAAGCCATTCGATTTGGGGCTTGGGAAAGTGTGATTCGTGCAATAGACAGTATGAGCGTGACACAAAAGCAAGAAGACCGTTGGCAATATTGGTTGGCGCGTGCTTCAGAACAACGCAATGATGCACAATCTAAAAGAACCGCTAAAGATATCTATCAACGATTGGCAATGTCGGGTGATGATTATCATAATCTGCTTGCCAAAGATCATTTGGGGCAAAAATATAATGATAGTCCTGCCAGAGAACAGCCCTCAACTGATGACCAGCAACGCTTAAATAGCGATATTCATTTCCGTCGTGCATTTACTTTACGAAATATTAATGCGCCTGCAACTTATACCAATAGGGAATGGAACTGGGCGGTACGTCAGGCATACTTAAAACATGATGATGGGTTGCTGCTTGCTGCGGCAAAACGTGCAACTGAGATGGGCTGGTATGATCGTGCAATTTATGCGGCAGAACGTACTGAGAAAAAACATAACTATGTTTATCGTTATGCCACACCTCATCAGTCGTTGGTGGTAAGTCATAGCCGTAATGCGGGTATTGATCCAGCTTGGGCCTACGGTTTAATGCGCCAAGAAAGTCGTTTTGTGACTGCTGCTCGCTCACATGTTGGTGCAGGTGGTTTGATGCAAATCATGCCAGGCACTGCAAAGTTGGTGGCAAAACAAATGGGTGAAACTTATAATCCTGCTGCACTCAGTGATGCCAACACCAATATTCGCTATGGTACTTTCTATCTGTCGATGATTCATGGTCAATTAAGCAGTAATCCTGTCTTGGCAACAGCAGGGTATAATGCTGGGCCAAATCGCGCGAAACGTTGGCAGCCAGATTATCAAAATCTTTCAGCAGATCAATATACAGAATCTATTCCTCTGAATGAAACACGTGACTATGTAAAAAATGTGATGACCAATGCAGCACATTATGGAATCTTGTTGGGACAAGGGCCTCAAGCGATTGAAAGTCGTATGCCTGTTATTCCAACCCGTGTTTCACAATAAAACTATTTGGACTTGGATGAAACTTTGTTGGTAAATCAATGATTTTCAAAATTTTGCGTAAATTGAAACAATCTTGCTTAGCATGGAGCTTATGCTTTGCGGGATTGTTTGGGCTCAATGTGCAGTTACATGCTGCACCGCAATTACAAGGCTATGTCATGCAAGTCCAGTTGACACCTGCTGTCTGTGCACTTGATTCTTCAAAACAAAAGCAACGCAAATGTCTCGAAGGTTATTCATTGACAATCACAGGTCTGTTGCCTGAAACGACAGAGCGGAATTGCACCACCAATACATCTGCAAGTTTGACCCCTTTACAAGCTAAGGTGGTTGCACGGGTAATGCCTGAGGAAAATGCACGTATTCAGTTGTGGCGTAGCGTGGGTGGCTGTGTTCCAATGAACGCGAGTCAATATTTTAGAACTGTGATTAATTTAGCAGATCGTTTGAAAATTCCTGCAGATTTAACCAGCTCTGAAAACAAGAATGTGCAACATAATGCGTTAAAAACTCAATTTGTTAGATTAAACCCGGGAATGAATAACGACAGTATCCGTTTTACTTGTCAAAGTTCATCATCAAACCCAGTGTTAACCGAGGTTCAAGTGTGTTATCGGGTCAATGGTCAGTATAAACAATGTTCAAATCACATTGTTTCAAACTGCCCAAATACATTCTCGATCAAAGGGACTTATTAGTTCTTCTGAGGAATTTTATTTATATTTCCTATCATACTTTTGTTGAAAAGCATTCTCTTTTACATGCAACTGTTAAAGGATTGGAGTACAATCTTTGCCGTTTATGATAATTCGATTAAAACGGATTTAACCGTTTAATCACATTAACGATCCTCATTGGAGATAATTACATGAAGCAACCTGTTCGCGTTGCCGTTACTGGCGCAGCTGGTCAAATCGGTTACAGCTTATTATTCCGTATCGCTAGCGGTGAAATGCTTGGTAAAGACCAACCCGTTATTTTGCAATTGTTAGAAGTTCCATTTGAGAAAGCTCAAGCTGCGCTTAAAGGCGTAATGATGGAATTAGATGACTGTGCTTTCCCATTATTGGCTGGCATGATCGGTACTGATGATCCAAAAGTTGCATTTAAAGATGCTGACTACGCGTTATTGGTTGGTTCACGTCCACGCGGTCCTGGTATGGAACGTGCTGACTTGTTGAAAGTGAACGGTGAAATCTTCATTGGTCAAGGCCAAGCACTTAACGAAGTTGCGAGCCGTGACGTTAAAGTACTTGTTGTAGGTAACCCTGCAAATACAAATGCTTATATCGCAATGAAATCTGCTCCAGATCTTCCAGCGAAGAACTTTACAGCAATGTTACGTCTTGACCACAACCGTGCGTTGACTCAAATTGCTCAAAAAGCGGGTGTTGCTGTAGCGGATATCAAAAACCTTACAGTTTGGGGTAACCACTCTCCAACAATGTATGCGGACTACCGTTTTGCAACTGCAAATGGCGTAAGCTTAAAAGACAAAATCAACGATGCTGATTGGAACGCAAACGTATTCCTTCCAACTGTTGGTAAACGTGGTGCTGCAATCATTGAAGCGCGTGGTCTTTCTTCTGCTGCTTCTGCTGCAAATGCTGCGATCGATCATATGCGTGATTGGGCGCTTGGCACCAATGGCGAATGGGTAACAATGGGTATTCCTTCTGACGGTTCTTATGGAATTCCTGAAGGTGTGATGTACGGTGTTCCTGTAATTTGTGAAAATGGCGAATACACTCGTGTTGAAGGCTTAGAAATTGATGCATTCAGCCGTGAACGTATGGACAAAACTCTTCAAGAACTTGAAGAAGAGCGCGCAGCTATTGCTGATATGCTTAAATAATTAAAATTTAATCTGTTAAAGATTAATTTTGAAAAAAGCACTCTATTTAGAGTGCTTTTTTTTATGGTTCAAATCAAACATCCAGAAAAAAGATAATTGATGTTAAGCCAACATTTGTTTGTTTTTTAATCACAAATTGAAACAAGAAAATTAAAATCTAGACTATCTTTTAAAATTATTTTCTTATAAGTTAATTGAATAAAAGATGACAAATAAATTTATATAAGGAGGCAATATGCTCAGGACGAACACACCATCCTTAGAATTACTATTTTCTCAACTTGGTTTGGCAAATAGTCCCGCAGCAATTGAGCTATATGTACGCACTCATCAATTGCCAGCAAATCTTTCATTACATGAAGCGCCGTTTTGGAATAAATCTCAACGTGACTTATTAATTAGTCACTTGATACAAGATGATGATTGGGCAATTTGGATTGACGAGTTAAATCAACAATTACATCTAGATGCGTATAAGCTAACAGCCTAATGATTTAGTTTCCCCCAGAGCAACAAAAAAGATGGCCATTTTGGCCATCTTTTCTATTTCGTATTGATCAAATTAGCTTTGATCAATACGAATAACAAATTGAGTTATTTTGAATGGGCATAGCGCTGATCAATGTAATTTAGACTGAATCATTTGACTAAACCAAGCTTCATTGCGAACAGGTCTAAAGGCAGTGTGTTGTTGCAGTAAGGTTAAATCAAAATCAGTTGTCTTGATATATTTACTCAGCCAGTGACGAGTTAATGCAAATTCATTTTTACTCACAGATGCATAAGCCAACATAAAGTAAATATCAGCATGATGATGTTGTGCCAATGGTTTTAAAATTTGCTGCGTAATCAAGGCATAACGTGATTCTTTGGTCAATTCAAAGTAAATCATATA